CCCAATCTTCAGGGTAAGAGTAAAACAAACACCAATCATACATTTGAGTTAATGCTTCACCAATTCATTAAATAGCAAAGACAATTGTTAATAAATTAAATTCTGAATCTGCCCACATTTTACAATTTCATTGGTCAGCCAAGTGATTGACATGTGCAGAAACCATCACCATGCTTTATAGTATCCAAACTGTACAGAGTTCCACATATGTATGCCACATACACATGGAAATTTCCCCATGTCTGGGATGGAATGCGCACTCAGAGGGAAATACCCTACTTACACAATTCCAGAGAATTAGGAGCAGATTGGCAAAAGCCAAGGTTTGCAGACCCAAATTTAACCAGGTAAAACCACATGGTTTGCCACTGAGAGTACTATCTTGCATGCTTCTGACTGCTTACCCAGCGAGGACAACCTTAGAACTTTGGCTAGCACAACTAACAGGAGCTGAGAGGAAGAATTCCTACTGCCAGTGCCTGGACTGCTCATTCAAGTTCTGATGATGAGCCAGACTGACTGGTCTGTCACCTCCAGTGCCCTGGATTACAGCGAACCCATCCTGTCAGAAACCAGAGTACTGAGACCAAAACTCGGTTCCAACATTCCAGTGCCAAACATCACTTTGGAGCCAGCTAAGTTCTGAGCAATGCTTATCTCCAACCAAAAGAGGATACTATTTCAATTATGCTTGTTTATATTTATAAACTGCAATGATCTCTGGAATGGTTAAACCTGACAAGCTGCTAATTAGGTAAAAAATTTTGCCATTCGGAGGATAACATTTCTAAAGAGCATTACACATCTGAAACAGTCAGCATGGATTGAGAATCAATACATTATGTCTACAATCTGCTTGGTGGAACATTTACAGTAAATTAAGATAGTATTCTTTGTTCCTCCAGGTCTGGACTCCTCCTCGTCCCCCGAGTCCTCCGCTCCACCCTCGGCGGCTGTGCCTTCAGCTACTATGCCCCGAGTCTCTGGAACTGCCTTCCTCACTCCCTTAGTCTCGCTCCCTCCCTTCCCATTTTCAGGTCTCTGCTGAAGACCTTTCTTTTCGACCGCACCTTTGGTCATCTTCCTCACCCTCCCCCTGGCTCGGACCCGAGATCCGTTACTGTAAAGCGCTCTGAGATGCGTGGAGGGCGCTATATAAATCCAAGTTGTTGTTGCAGTAAATTAAGCTAAATTGGATGAGGGCTATCCAATTAATATATTCAGAAGTCATTAAATAAATTTCCACAAGATTCTTAAAGATGTTGAATATTTGCAGAATTAATGGTAAATTAGCTTGCTATACAGAAGCTAACTGAACAATAGGAACCAGGTGATAAATATGAAAGGATGGGTTCTTTCTTCTTCTCTCTTACCTTACCAAACTCATTCTGCTCATCTAAAGTCTGAATTAGACCTTACCGCCTGAAATCAGTATTAAAAAGGTTCTTGTTGATGCTAAACTATTTGACCAGGTAACAAATAATGGAGAAATGGCATTAAAGAAATGTTGAGTAAGTAAGGAAATTCTAGGAGTATAGAAAAAAAGTTGCAAGACAACAGGAATTTTCAGAAATAATCACAATTTGGAACACATCTGCAAGATGGATGTTAATGTAGGTAAGCAAAATAATATGCATTGGAACAGAAAATATGCTCATAATGAATAATGTTCATAAATAATGAAGAATGTTCATTCTGCTATGTTAATATGTCTATTAACACAGCAGAAACAAATCGGGTGATCACTAAGCATTTTCAGCCCATGTGAAACAAATCTCATACTCAGACCCATTTCAAGGGCACTCTGCTGGAAGTCAATTCATCTTAACCCCCGTGCATATCACTCACTCGTCATGAAACACTTGATTTAAACATCAATTCAAAGGAACGATTCAGCGATCAGCTCAAATCACGGGTGAGCAAGCTTTCAGATCGTCCCCTGTCTTCTGGAACTCTTGCTTTAACTCCTTCCGTCTTGTACCCTTCCTCCTTCTCTGCTTTCAGAAAACTTTCCGAAAATCATTGCTTTCCTGGTTAACCTCCTTCTTACCTTCCAATCTGCTCAGGCTACCATCAGTCTCTGTGAAGACATTTCCTGCGCGAAGGGCAAGTGCAAGTTGTAATTGGCCATGACCAGACAATCAGCCGGCTTTGTCCTTCACTCTATTCCAAGTTACAACAATGGAACAATGCTTATTATTTTGTGATTGACCCGGACCTCTTTCCACAAACATTGTGGGGTAGGAATGAGCATCAGAGCACCTTTTACATCTACATTCACAACTCTACATCTTCTGTGCTGAGTGCACTGAATACGCAAAGGTCTACTTGGTTCTGGTTTATCGTACAGATAAAACATCCTGAATAATTCCTTTGAGTTTACTATCGATTTACTTGGCTACAACATGGACAGCAGCTCTCCGTGCATCTGTATTCTCAGCAAGTTTGGTTTTCAGTGCTGTCTTTCCAAAGCACTTCAAGTGATACCAGACTGAAATACCACATTCTTTAATTTATGATTCACAGCCAAGTTAACCTCAGAATTGATTGATGGAGAAATACTCTTCCCACTACTTTTCACAAAGGTCAAGGTGACATGGTTCTAGAGTAATTTACATAATTCTTATGACTGATTTTGAAAAGGTTGGCTGAATAACTCACTGAATGAAATCATATGCGTGGATAGAAACAGTGATGCCATATCCCTACTATAGACATGACTAAAAAAAGCGTCAGACTGAAAAAGTAGCTCAAGGGAGAGTTTCAGACTGCTAAACACAAAATTGGTCAAGGAAGGTTGATTTATCCCAATAAACTCAATTAATTCTACATTTATCCAATGGGTAAAGCCAACCAAGTAAACCTGCAAGCACATCTTGATTGTGGCTTTGTCAGATGGATAAATATACCCAGTGATTTACAACATGAACTTTCAGTTTGTCTCACATATATTCTCTATTGTTGAAGCATAATTGTTTGTTGAAGCAGACGTGAGGATGGACAGTCGATAAATTATTTCCAAGGGATTTAAGTGGATGCTTAAAAAAAAGATTAGCAGGTATGGGAGCCATCAGGAAAGTCAAGATAGTTCCCGCGAAGAAAAATACCAGCACAAACATGAGGAAACAAATGGCCAATTTTTGTTGTAACAATCTCCAATTATGTTCCTAAATAGTAATAAGTGAGGCTAATCTACAAATTAAGGTGAAATGGCAATAACTCCTTCTATCCCATAATGTAAAGCCATTGAAACTTTTACTTCAACTTTATACAGGCTTTTAAAACCCAAGCTGTTCATCTTGACCTCTGGTACTCTGCAGTGTTCCTTCCCCATTTTCAGGTTGCGCCTGAAGACCTTCTTATTCACCTCCCCCTCCCCCCAGCTCGGAGTTGTGCTCCACCAGGGGCGCTATATAAATATAAGTTATTGTTGGCCCTTCACCTGGTTTTTAGTTAAAAAAACATTGTGGTTAAAGTAACAGTCCATTTTTGTTCCAGTTGTGGGGAAAGATTCTATAACTAAGGTAGAAGGGAAAACACACCACATTTCGCTCTGCTATATTAGAGTTTTAAAAGTTATTTACTGAATAATGCAGATCATGGTCTGCCTCCTGATGAGAAAGGTGCTATACAAATGTAATTTGTTGTTTTTGCCAGTCTTTTTTCTATGTTTCCTTCCCGCAGATTGGGTCAATAAGGTGCAGGCCAACACATTAATCAAGCATGTGGCTCCAAACCAGGTCCAAACCCCGACAATCACATTATATAAAACTGCTCGGGACACATGCACCTCTGCATCATGGAGATCACCCAAGAGATGTAGCAGCTCAGGTGGAGGGACCTGTGGATCCTTAAGGATTTCTTGCTATATTTGTGCCTCTATACAAACTCTGAAACTGATGTTTTACTTTTATCTGTAACATTAATCTTATAGAATACCGAACTTCATTTCTTAACCATCTTACAGTCACTACACGAGAATAAGAATGCATATGCTTGACAATCTTTTGGTTGAAATTCAAAGCCATTTTGCTTTTGTTTTTAAAAATAACACAGGGTAGCAGCCAAACAAAATGTTATTTTACTTATGAGATGAAGATGGTATTAATCCTTTCATCGAGTTGGAATTGTGAAAGCAAACAAGAAGTGAGTTCTATTAATATGCTATTTTCTTTGTATTTGATGACAAAGTAAACACAAAAAATTATGAAGAACAGCAACTAGCAGGAACGATTTGTAGTATGATTAAAGCTTGTAGTGCTCTTCAGGCCAGCAGCTAATACCTGAATTACATTTTCACCACATCAAAACAATATTTTTCCATTTTAAGAAACTAATTTTCTTCAGAAAATGAAACATTTGCCAATAGATATAGCCTACATTATTCTATTTTTGGAAGAAATGAGTCCCAAGACTAATGCACTTGTAGGAGTTGTAACTCCCTACGTTTAGGACCACATAATAGGACCTGAAATCTAATTGCTAGTTTAAAAAAAACCTTGCTCCCTGTCACTCAGAGGATTCAGTTCAAGATCCTAGTCCTCACCTTCAAAGCCCTTCATGGCCTTGGTCTTTGTTACCTCTTTGACCTCCTAATACCCTACCAACCTGTCCACTCGCTCCACTCAATGGGCTCCGGCCTGCTTCAAGTCCATTGTCTTGCCTGCCCTACCATTGACGGGTGGGCCTTCAGCCTCTCTGCACCCACCATGTACAAATGATCTGCTGATTAACTATACGTCATACAGGAGAGTTTCAGAGAGTAATGCTACAGTCAGATACACTAGTCATTTGACTACACAAGTATATATTTCCACAGCAATGTTCATATCACAAATAATCCTTCAGAAATACATCTATGGTGCTAATGTACCACAAGCTAGTGATATTAATAGAGCAGATACTGTTAAGACACTTTTACCAACACAAGCAAAGAGACCTAATGCTTCAGAAAATATCCCAATGTCCAGAGAAAGCATAGGACAGATATACAGACGTACCTGTCTGCTGTTCGTCTTGGCTAACGTCTTCTGTCAAATTCTGTAAACAAAGACAAGCAAAAAATGACTAGTTATATAAGGATTTTTTTTTACAAATTATAAAAACAGCAATGGTGAATCACATCCATTTCGGGGGTTGGTAAGAGGGGACCCTTTCAGGCTATATTGGCTTCAATATGACGTTTCTGTAATAGAATATCATAATCAACTCAATCCTCTGTGATGGTCTCAGTAGTTCCGTTCCTGAGCCAGCCTGTTCCGCAGGTTTCTTGAATATCTTGATTGACCAACCAGCTTGATTTATTAGCAGGATTTTACTAGTTACTGATAACTTGGATTATTTACTTCCAGGTCATTAATCTCAAATCAAAATCCAAACAGGAAGGATGAAATTAGCTAGAGGAGCAGCAGAAAGCTTGGCAGTGGCTTTAGCTAGTTAAAACTGCCCCAGTACCCCAAATGCAAACTTTAGGGTCCCCAAGCCTTGGCTCTTGCCAACCTTTACTTGCCACCTAAACACTTCAGAAGTAGGGTGTATCCCTCTATACCAAACAAATGGAAACTACAGATATGTGTAACTCTCAGTTGTTTGGTTTGGAAACTCAAGTATGGTGATGGGTTTCCATACTTCAAGATACCCACCTAACAAAAGTAAAAATGAATGTGAAGGAATCATCACATAACAGTTGTGAGTACACTTAACCTTAAAAGGAACCAGAAGTTAACACCAGTTATAATATTGCAAATATTTATAGACTAGCCGTTGTTCTTCAAATTTTAAAGCATTGCATTCTTAGTAACAATTTCAAGCAAGTGTAGATTACTGACCTATCAAGTCTGATCACACAAATAAATGTTTTCTAGCCATTGATTCACTTTTTTCATAGTTCTTAGAAAAATGTTTAATCTAAAAGAAAATAGGAAGCCAAACACAGTTTTATGGTTAAGAAAGCAGCTCTCAGTTGGGTATTTACCCATTATCTTGTATTTTTACACAGTAACACTTAAAGGAAAATGCTTAACGGAAAAGTCTGGGAGAATACTTTCTGTTCAAACAAAAAATAAAAACATCCAGAGTTCATTTTAAACTGGCTTCTTTTGCGATCTGTAACCAAAGGGGCTTTGTCTTAAAATTCAGCTGAACAAGTATCAAGAAAGATGAGCTGTGATGTTACATATCCACACCTATTCTACAAGGATTTAGTTTTCTTCAGTTACAAGAATTCAGCTACAAATTCTTGTTCAGCTATTCACTCTTCTCTCCCCTCTGACATCTCCCAAAATGAAATCCACCAACGTTTCCTCGACCCCGTGTATTCCTACCCCTCTGCTGACTTCCCAGCTCCACCTCCTAGTCGCAAACAAACATCGTCAGCCCCTCTTTGTCTACATTTCCCATCCACTTAAAAAACAGCTGTCATCAACCACTGCTCAAAAGCCCTCCACAGACCCATTCCTGTTCTCTAACTTACTCCTCAATTGTCCTTTGGATTTCCCCTGAACGTGAAAACGTGAAACATGCAATATAAATGCAATGCGTTATTGCACACACCATGTATACAATCAGCAAACCTGATGGCTGCTGAAAAAGTTAAAATGCTGAATGAAGTTCATCCATTTCGGTTGCCATCACCAGCTTCTACACCTGATATTAGGATGTGCCCCCACTTCGCAAGCTGCAGAGAACCAACCTCTTGTTTTCAAATTCAAAACAATTCACAGCTACACAACAGATATGACATAAACCACCAAAGAGCTCATCTTTGGTAACAGAGATATGGCCACATTACTGATCTTATCACAATTATAACTAATACAAATTGTGCTTACATAAAGCACAAGTTTACACTAGGAACACAAGAATGGAGCAGGATTCAAACTTGCATCTGACTCTGCCATAGAAAAATACACACTTCTGGAAGATAACTTGAAGTCAGTTATTTCCTCCCAATTAACTATACCTGTATTACATTATTAAAAATACATCATGGTGTTATCAGAAGATTTTAGTTCTCATTGACACGTAAGCTATTTTTGACAATGAGGCTCAATTATTCCTATGATCTTTCCTCTAAGACCTTTGACTTTAAATTTAAACTTAATTTTTAAATTTAAAATTGTAGAATATGTTTTAATTCAGTGTGAACTTGGAAGCCAGTTTTCTGCAGTTTTTAAGAAATGCAGAAAACTGATTTCCAAATTAAAACAGAATTGTACACAGTCTTAAATTGTAAGATAATGTTTTTAAAAGCTAAGACCATGAGAGATTTCAAAGTATTTCTATATCCAACTTGGAGGTAAATAATTTCCTGTGAAATTACCCTTACTGCTACATTACATTAAAAACAAATAAGAAAGTTACCAGTCTGTTTAAAGTGTGATAAATCTTGTGAATGCTAGCCAGTGTAGACAGATGAGAAGTTAGTGGAAAATCTGAAAGAAAAAGAAAAGACAATTAACAATGGAAAATAATACTCGCGGTTATTCATATTCAAAACATGCTATTCAATGAGTTTTGCCTTAATTTCAATTCAGTTTACAATATATGAATTTTGTTCTTAAGATTGTGAAATTTAGTATACCTCTACATCTCATATCATTCATAGTGCCTTTGTTAAAATGGTAATATCACCTTTAATTCCAAACTTATTCATTCAATCATTAATCAATGCTTTTTAAAGGACATGAAATTGAAAAACAAAATCATTTTCTATCTACATCACTGAGAGCACAAATTACTATAAAACCTTACGGCACAGAAGGAGGAAATTCAGCCCATCTAGTTTTTGCTGCCTCTTTTAAGTCATTCAGTCCAGTTTACCTGGCTTTTCCCATCCATACCCTGAAAATTACTCCTTTTTAGACACCCTTCTAGAAATTTCATTTGGATTATATAAGATTTCAAGAAGGGAACTAGACAGCCTTGACTACCACTCCTGACTACATTTCTCTCGAGCAACTGCATCTAAACATCTCTATTATGTCTCCCCTGAAATTTCTCTGATCTGAGATGAAAATAGGCCCACTTTCTTGAGTCTTTGCTCACAGGTCATACCATTCATCCCTGCTGTGAATCTCGGAAATCTCCTTTATAATAATAAGCCTTGCACTCAATATAGTGTCTTATCACATCTTTGAGACATCTCAAAGCACTTCATAGTACTGTAAAGTGAATTGACTGTATACTTTGTGGGCGAACCCAGCAGCCAATTGCACACAACAGTGTTCCACAAATAAACAGTGATAGATTGAGTGACCAATTTTATTATTTTTTTGAAGGAATTACTACCTGCCGGAAAAGCGATTGGCCAACTGTCTAACAAACAGGTTTATACTTACTGCTAGGTAAATAGAGGAGTGTGGAATAAGGAAAGTTGCCCAATATTTCGCCTTACCAGGAATCTAACCTAGGTCTCTTGCTTGCGAGGAAAGTGCTCCAACTACTAAGCTACAGGACTCTACTGTGCCTCACACATCCTTCCTAAAGTGGAGTGACTAACACACAACACTATCCTCCTGTTAAGTCAATAAATCAACCAAAGCTGACATTTTAAATATAATCTGCATAATTTCAACCTACAGCGAGTGCAAAAAAAGCATTAACATTCACATAAATTGACCATAATAACCCCAAAGTGCACTGTTATTTTTAAAATATTATTTAATTCAGGCACTGGACTGATCCAAATAGATCACTGCCATAGAAAAACAGAGCCACTTCAGGTCACAGATACTACTGCAACGGCTCAATGATGGGGCAGGGACCTGAAACGGCAGGCCTCTGTGAACATAGAAATCTCTTGTTAAAGTGATATCTTGTAACTGGTAGCAAATATCGTATAGAATTTAATTTTTAATTTATACTGTACAGAGCCAACAAAGTAGATGAGGGGTAGAATAGATGTGAGGTAAAACATATGTAATTATATCAAAAACTTAAAAGTATTCTCTCTGCATTTAAGTACAGTATTTAGGATGAGTCTCTCTCTGTGTCTATTTGTGTCTTTCTCTAAAGCTGTCTCTCTGGGGGTGTATTATAGCTTTAACTGTCTGTACCAAACATTTTTTTAAAAAATGGATCAATGCTTCAGTTTAGAAAGAAAATACCCAATATGTAAACCAATTTAAAAAACGAATACAAAAACTCAACAATTAAACATTTGAAAAAAGATGCTTTGTTTCAGTAATGTAGCACAATAATATGAATGACAAATAATTCAATTAATTTTTTATCAATATCTTTAATGGAATTAGTTCAATCTCTGGGTTTAGATAATTCAAATGCTCAAACTTCAATCTCAATTTAAATCAATAGAACCATCAATTGGATTACACCCTTATATTCCACCTGAAGTGACTCGTACTTTCTCATATGCTTGTGCAACAATTAAAGCAATTCTTAATTTATATAGTAATGAACACATAACTGTTAAAATTTGAACATGTACCCCAGTGTTTACTTTGTATTCTGACCATAAAGCACTTCCCAGCAAACTGCTGATGAGTGATAAAATTTAAAAATATCATATTTATCCGAAGAGACATCCGTGCACACATGAAAGTAAAGTCCACGCTGGCAAGTATAAGGAAGCTTGTTGCCCATCTTCCGCTCACTTTCCAAAGGTTGAGAAAGTCAACATTTCATGAAGCATAAGCATATTCAGTTCAACTTGTTCAAGGTGCGCTATACAGTAAATGGGATTAGAACAGTAGGAAGACACACATATCTTGGCAAGTATCTGTTGGCAAAAACTGGGACAGACATATTACATTAGATAATGATACCCCCGTTGAACTCTGCTTCAACCACCACAATATACAGGACTCTTTCCAATATAAGTGACATAAGTTCTGTTAATATTTCAAATCAAGCCTCACTTAAACAGATCACAGAAAGCCAACATGAACCACTGTCAGCTAAATTCCAAGGTAGCGGACTATATTTGTCACACTGCAAGGTGCTCAATCCACCTCACCATCGATGGGCGGATCTGCCCTCAGCCTTTCTGCCCATCTCTCCAGAACTGCATCTCAGAATCCATTCTTCTTGCTCCCTGGGTTCAGAACTTTAAGACCCATCTTTTTAACGGTTCTTTCTGCCTCTTTCCCCCTCCCTTGGGCTGTGTGAAACTTGAGTGTGAAATGCATCATATAATATTTCTGCAACATATCTGAAGGCAAATTGGCTGCCAGGTTCGCCTACGAATAAAGTCCACCACACAACGATTATAATTACTAGGAAACAACACTTTTGAGACACCTTTTGAAATGATATGGCAGCGTAGCAAATGGAAACATTATTGTTCTGCACCGCCAAATTGCACTTACACAGCCTCAAGTTGAAACTTCTTCTACGGGGAGATCAAGCAAAATGCAACAATTGATGGCAGAAGTTGCACACCGTGAGGCCAACTCTCCCGCTCGCAGACCCTGCTCACCAGACCCTTCATAGCCAACACCAGTGGGGGCGATCACCAGAAAGAGATTAAAATGATGGCCCCTCAAAAAACTTAAAAAGACCGACGATGCAAACATAAAGACCACTCGTTGGGTGTGTGATCCAGTGTCGAAACGGCAACAGCGAGGCTCGGAGCGGCAGGAGCAGGTGACACCTGGCTCGGCTTCTTCAGTGAGGACAGGTTTGGGAGAAGCTCTTCCCCCCCCCTCCCTCCCTCCCTCGCCCGGCGCGAGCCGACACGCGAAGCATCGCGGGCTTTGCAGTCCGCTTGTGATGCGCCGCAGTGCGCAACAACCGCAAGAACGCGTCGTCGCGGCACTACAAGTCCCAGAATGCGCAGCCTGCGCCACGCAGGCGCACGGGGGCGAGTGCCCTCCCTTCTGACAGGCAGCACAGACAAGACGCCTCGTCTCGCATTAAAACCGCTGCGGCTCGTGGCCGTTCCACAGGACAATTCAAATGGGGGGCGAGGAGGAGGGGGGGGGGCGTGGATATAGAAGAGTAATCCTTATTACTCCTCGCCACAAAATTATACCCATCGCATATTTATCTCTGGAAACGTAACGGTCAGGCCAACCGACACAGAGATCAAACAAAGACGGCGGTGGCTTTATCGAGGGAAGAAAATCAACTGCGTCACACTTATTTCGTTGTCAGGCATGAAAAATAAAACAAACTGAGGGGTCGGGGGAACCAGGAGACACAACGTAAACAAATAACATGCGCGCTGAGAGGCAGGGAGAGAGGGCTGGGGGGGGGGGGGGCGGCAGCCGGTGCTACCTGAGGCCGGCGAGGCGAGCCCCGGCCGGCGCCGGGAGTGCGGCTCGGGTGGACTCGGAGGAGCCTGGTTACTTACTAACTGCATCCGCGTGCATTTTCAGCGCAATGAGGAGACCGGCCGCCGCACTGCCGCTCTGCTCGTGCCGGTAAAAGCCAGCAAGCCAAGCCTCGCCGGAAGTCCCGCCTTCTCGCCTCGCCGATTGGTCCCTGTCCACCAACCCCACCCAGTCTGACGCGGGCGGCGATGGCGGGGTGTGGGTTGGCCGCGCGCCGCGTCAATCAGACGCGGATCAAAGGGCGAGCGGTGTCAGTTTAACGACCGCCCTCTTCCGAGATCGCGCTTGTGGGTGGCGCCGCGGCCTCAGGTCAGGTCACTGTCCCCGTGTGAATTTTAATTAAAGGAAAGACCACAATTTCTTACAGGAGGAGAGCGGGACGGGAGCACCGTGTGCCAGTGTTACTGCCGGTAACTTTGGTGGACGTTGTTGTGCTTGAACGCCGTCCTCGACAGTAAATAATAGGAATGGCGGCCTAGCAACAGAGCCACGGACCAATCAGAGAGCAGCAAGTCTTAGGGCTGCCTGGGGAAGGGGGCCCGGGGCCTGGGGAAGGGGTCCCGGGGGCTGGGGAAGGGGGCCGGGGCCTGGGGAAGGGGGCCCGGGGCCTGGGGGAAGGGGGCCGGGGCCTGGGGAAGGGGGCCGGGGCCTGGGGAAGGGGGCCGGGGCCTGGGGAAGGGGGCCGGGGCCTGGGGAAGGGGGTACGGGGCCTGGGGAAGGGGGCCGGGGCCTGGGGAAGGGGGTACGGGGCCTGGGGAAGGGGGCCTGGGGAAGGGGGCCCGGGGCCTGGGGAAGGGGGCCGGGGCTGGGGAAGGGGGCGGGGCCTGGGGGGGGGGGGGGGGGGGGGGGGAAGGGGGCCCGGGGCCTGGGGAAGGGGGCCGGGGCCTGGGGAAGGGGGGGGGGGCCTGGGGAAGGGGGGGGCCTGGGGAAGGGGGCCCGGGGCCTGGGGAAGGGGGCCTGGGGAAGGGGGCCCGGGGCCTGGGGAAGGGGGTACGGGGCCTGGGGAAGGGGTACCGGGCCTGGGGAAGGGGGCCGGGGCCTGGGGAAGGGCAGGGCCTGGGGAAGGGGGTACAGGGCCTGGGAAGGGGGTACAGGGGCCTGGGGAAGGGGGTACAGGGGCCTGGGGAAGGGGGTACAGGGGCCTGGGGAAGGGGGTACAGGGGCCTGGGGAAGGGGGTACGGGGCCTGGGGAAGGGGGTACAGGGGCCTGGGGAAGGGGTACAGGGGCCTGGGGAAGGGGGTACAGGGGCCTGGGGAAGGGGGTACAGGGCCTGGGGAAGGGGGTACAGGGCCTGGGGAAGGGGGTACAGGGGCCTGGGGAAGGGGGCCCGGGGAAGGGGGTACAGGGGCCTGGGGAAGGGGGTACGGGGCCTGGGGAAGGGGGTACGGGGCCTGGGGAAGGGGGTACAGGGGCCTGGGGAAGGGGGCCCGGGGCCTGGGGAAGGGGGCTGGGGAAGGGGGTACAGGGGCCTGGGGAAGGGGTACAGGGGCCTGGGGAAGGGGGTACAGGGGCCTGGGGAAGGGGGTACAGGGGCCTGGGGAAGGGGGTACGGGGCCTGGGGAAGGGGGCCCGGGGCCTGGGGAAGGGGGCCCGGGGCCTGGGGAAGGGGGCCCGGGGCCTGGGGAAGGGGGCCCGGGGCCTGGGGAAGGCCTTGTGGAGTCCTGTAGCTCAGTGGTTAGAGCACTCGCTTTGCAAGTGAGAGACCTGAGTTCAATTCCAGGCAGAGGGCGAAACCTTGGGCAAGTTTCCTTACTCCACACAGAGCCTAATAATAATCCCTCCAAAACCAAAAATAATAATAAATTGGTCATTTTCAATCTACGACTGTTTTGCTGTGCGCAATTGGCTGCTGCGTTCGCCCACAAATATACAGTCAATTCACTTTACAGTGTGTTCTGTGAAGCGCTTTGGGACGTCCTCCCGACGTGAAAAGCACTATATCAAATGCAAGGATTATTATTATTAAGGGGGTATGGGGCTGGCTGGGGAAGGGAGTACATGGGCTGGTGAAGGGGGTACAGGGGCTGGTGAAGGGGGTACAGGGCCTGGGGAAGGGGGTACAGGGCCTGGGGAAGGGGGTACAGGGCCTGGGGAAGGGGGTACAGGGCCTGGGGAAGGGGGTACAGGGCCTGGGGAAGGGGTTACAGAGACTTAATAGAAGTATTGAAAATTATGAGGGGGTTCGATAGGGTGAACAAGGAGAAACTATTTACACTGGAGGGTGAGTTGGTAACCCGAGGGCACCGATTTAAAATAATAATAATCCTTGCATTTGATATAATGCTTTTCATGTCTTCTCGACGTCTCAAAGCGCTTCACAGAACATACTGTAAAGTGAATTGACCGTATATTTGTGGGCGAAGTGCAGTAGCCAATTGCGCACAGCAGTGTCCCGCAAACAGTCGTGGATTGAAAAAGACCAATTTATTATTGTTTTGTTTTTTGGAGGGATTATTATTAGGCTCTGTGCGGAGTAAGGAAACATGAAAATAGTTGTTAAAAGAAACGGAAGGCAAGGAGAATTTTTTTTCACACAGTTGTTCGAATCTGGAATGCATTGCCTGAAAGGATGGTGAAAGCTAATTCGATAACAACTTTTAAGAGAGAAGTAGATAGTTATTTGGGGAGGACAAGTTTGCAGGGCTATGGGGAGAGAGCGGTGGAGTGGGATTGAATTGGATAGCTCTTTTCAAAGAGCCGGCACAGTTACGATGGGCCGAATGGCCTTCTTTCTGTGCTGTATAATTCTATGATTTTATGTGTCACAAACCATCTCTACTCCTGATTTGTCTTTCCACTTAAGTAGCTTTGGATGCTTCAGAAAGATTTTCTGGTGTGTGCAATTTTGGAGAAAATGAAACAAAATGTGTGCAATGATAAATATTCCACTATAAATTTCAAACAAGTTTTATTGCAAGGTACATCTGGAATACCTTGACAAAAGTACAATAGAACAGTATTTCAGTTAAGATCAGATGGTATATGTAAAGCAGGGAACATACAAATATGGGGTTAGGCTAACGTAAAATCAAAACATTGCAAGTTTTGAAAGAGGCTCTCACTAGGATGGGCTGAATAACATAATATTAATTTATTGTACTAGTCCCACTGAGTCAATTGATTACTCATACCCAAGGATTATTAAATCATATTAAACTCCAAACGTTAACCTATCTTCCTTTGTCAAATGCTGATCAACTTGGTTTGGATTTTTAGCATTTCTGATTTTGAAAACTAGAAAATATCTTGTTTATTGATACAGCAAAAAACTAACGTCAACTTAATTTCCTTTCTCTTTTGCACTTAACTAAAACTTTGTATTTCAACTGCAAGACGTCAACTTAATTTCCTTTCTCTTTTGCACTTAACTAAAACTTTGTATTTCAACTGCAAGAAACAATATGATTAAAGAGCCAAATCCTCATTCCAAACTTTCTTATTAATGTACATTTCTTTCATACTTTTGAAAGAAGTGTATATATTTGTAAATGATGCATTTTTTTAATTTTCCTGCTTTAAAAATTTTCCAAGAGAAAGTACTTTGGTGTGTTCATGTGATAATGATGAAATTGTTCACGATTGTGTCCCATCTTGAAGGAACCAAATCTATTAAAGAAACAACTGACAAATTTAGTAAAACATGGTATGTTTAAAAAAAACTGTAACATGTATTTTTTGAGGGGGGAAGGTAAGCAGGGTCTCCTTGCAGCTGAACTGGGTCAATATTGACATGTTTGGGAACGGAATATCAGAACCGAGCCAACCCTCTGTGGCAGTCTCGGGCGTCCGATTCCTCAACCAGGAAGGACGTGGCGCATCGTCAGGACCTGGAAGGGCAGACCAGTCACTGGGGGGCAGGGAATCATTTCACTCCTGTTAACCCTGCAAGCCAATGCCCCAACAGGTAGATATTATAAAGAGGTGTATCACATCTCTGTATGTAACCTGGGTGCATAGCGCCTTTACAGCAGCTTGGGAAATCATTCTGACATGAAAGTTGCTATATCAATTCAATTTGTTGTTGTTGTGAATCATGGACCCACATATATCAGACATAAGGTATATTTCCGGCATTGACTGGTCAGCTTCCTGGTGTCAGTGGTACCCCAGTAACCACTGGCAACTTTCACGAGCAATCATCAGTTTGCCAAGTGTTGTGCATTCAGTGATATCAATGGTGAAGTCACCTGTGATCTCACGTCATGGAAGCACTGACCAGCAGCTACTCTATAAGGTGGCCTTTGATTTTATGGACCTTAGGCCACTGCATTGTGATAGGGTTCAACAGCGTGTATTTCTTAACACGCAACTGGAATAGATGACAAGAACGGGTGTTCAAGTCAGGATAATAAGAAACAAGATAAGGTTTTCTGAAAGTTATAATGTGATCAAATGAACTTCAGGCTATTAAAGTAAAGCTAACCTGTGATTGAAGCGACTTTCCTTAGGCACATGTTTGGAAATAACTTCAAGCCTGTCATGATCCAAGAAGTGAGTGGAGTCATTAGGAATCTGAAATCTGGCCATCTGTATTTCTGTGTCACTGAGACCACCGTGAGAAATGCGAGCAAAGCCCAATCTACAAAAAAAATGAATATATTTAATAATTTGTTTAGAAGGCAATATTTAGAGAGATATTTGGAGTGATGTCAACTTTTGAATCTGTTTTGCCAAATTAACAAACTGCACGGTTTCAGTTTATTGAATATATTTAGAACTCTGCTGATAAACAGTGTTTTGCAACCCAATAAAAAGTGCAGTAAGACTTCTACGAAATCTTTTGCACTTTTTGTACCACCTGGAGTCCTGTAGCTTAGGGGTTAGAGCAGTCGCCTTGCAAACGAGAGGACCTGGATTCAGTTCCTGGGTGAGGAGAAACGTTGGGCAAGTGTCCATAATCCACATGCCTCTGTTTACCTAGCAGTAAGTAGGAACCAGGTTATTAGACAATTGGTGGATCGCTTTTCCAGGGGTAATAATTCCTTCNAAAAAAATATTTGGTCACTCAATCCATGACTGTTTGTGGGACAATGATGTGCGCAATTGGCTGCCGTTTTTCGCCCACAAAAGAGAGTGAATTCACCTTACAGTATATTCTGTGAAGCACTTTGAGACGTCTAGAAGACGTGAAAAGCACTATATCAAATGCAAGGATTATTTTATGTTTTCACACCATCAAAAGTGTCTAAAAATGGTAAAAGGCACTCATTAGAACCAATTTTAATGAGTACAGATTTCATCCTGTGTTGCATTATATTAGTATTTACTACTGTACCGCTTGATAGATATGAGATTTTTTGGGGGGAGCAAAGGACTATAAAGGGGTGAGTATACTCTGAGAGATGGCATATGTGGAGTCCTGTAGCTCAGTGGTTAGAGCACTCGCTTTGCAAGCGAGAGACCTGAGTTCAATTCCAGGCAGGGCGAAACCTTGGGCAAGTTTCCTTACTCCACACAGAGCCTAATAATAATCCCTCCAAAACCAAAAACAATAATAAATTGGTCATTTTCAATCTACGACTGCTTGTGGGACATTGCTGTGCGCAATTGGCTGCCGCGTTCACCCACAAGTATACAGTCAATTCACTTTACAGTGTGTTCTGTGAAGCGCTTTGGGACGTCCTCCTGACGTGAAAAGCGCTATATCAAATGCAAGGATTATTATTATTATTCTGTGAAGCGCTTTGGGACGTCCTCCCGACGTGAAAAGCGCTATATCAAATGCAAGGATTATTATTATTATATTTAGCACACTTTGAAAATGGGTACTTTATAATACAAGAACCCATACCAGACAAATAGAAATCATATATATGTGAAATTTCTAGTAGTTTGGTTTACAGAATCTTAAGCAGGTAATTGTTTTCCACACATCAGACACCTGCAAACCCCCCAAAATGGCCTGAACAGTATTTTTATCTCAAAGGGATTTTTTTATTTTATTCAAGATGTTTATCGTAAGTGGAAATTCCAGAGACCACAAAACAAATGCCCTTCAGTCCACATTATTATTTCTGTGTTCGTATTTTCTTGCACTTGGTGAGCCAACTATATCCATATAACAAAATAAAGAACTGGCAAGTATGTTTACCATTGAAAACAATCAATTTTGAATGATCAGTCATGATCTGAAAAACAGCACAAGTGCTCATGGAAAGAAATTTATTGCATTGGTACTTGTGCTAAAGGGCAAGGGTTGAAAAGGTTACCCTTTTCCCACCCAGAGAGGCCCCATGAGATGTTCAGTTCTTGCCACTTGGCAGAACTCAAAAAAAAACCATTGGCCAAATCTCCAAATTGTCCCTATGAGGGAGCAACTTGAGACAGCATTGGATGTTGAAGTTCAAGTAGAAGTTCTTATAGACTGTCAAGGCCTGCACTCAGAAGAAAATGTACTTTTGCCTGCTTGGGAATTGAGGGATCCACAGGGAAAATAAGTCAAGAGAAAGGAATCCAGTTTGATTATGTTTTGACAAAAGACTCATTACAGTCATCCAATTGGGTCTGAGCCCTACCACCCAATAGTACAAATAGTCAGTTAGGGAGACCCACACCACTGTTGCACAGTGTATTTCAACATCTTGAATCTTTTCAAAGGTCAGCTGCCGTTTCTGATGGGAAAGCTGCTATATACTCTGCAATGTATATCCCCAAAAGGTCTTCTGGAGATATGAACAGGGAACATTTTAAACATGGTGATAGTTCATTAGAAGACACCAATTCTGTCTATCAGAGGGCAAGGTCCATCACGGAGAAGATATTTTTACATTCTTGGTAGAGTTGAATTCAACTAAGCCAACTCACCTTATTAGGTCACGATACATAATGTATTCACACCACCTAAATGGATCATTGTTCGCTATATCCTAAAAAAGAAGAAAATGGTCAAGATAAATGCTCTTTGTTTTTAACCTGGTTCCAATATTCAAAAATTTTAAATTGTTCATAAAGGCATTGTAGGTAATAGAAAAATTACTGCCTGAGATTTGGTTTCTAAGGTATGACAGCATTACTCTTACTGCTTGTCTCCATTCCTTTTGATGCCATTATTTCATAGTGGTTTTCCTTATGTAGAAGTACATTTGCTTAGTGCTTACACATTCGCCTACAGAATATACAGTCACCACACTTTACAGTGAATCCTGTGAATTGTTTTGAGACGCCCTCTCGACGTGAAAAACACTCGGTCAAATGTAAGGAATATTATATTTCTACAAATTGCAAAGATGAAACATCTTATTCCCATATTGAAATAAAGGCTCTGGAACGCTACCCTGCGTGAAGGGCACTATATAAATGCAAGTTGTTGTAGATGCAAATTGTTGTAGTTTCTCATAAGAAGTTTGTACTATTGCAATAGAACAACTACTTGCATTTATATAGCACCCTTCACACGGGACAGGGTATCTATCGGAGCACTTAAATAAAGAGGTAAGGGAGCAGCCATTCATCTCACACAATACCACTTACTGCAAAAACATTACCTACACCAAGAAGCGCTGGCTGAAAAATGTGTCCAAAGAGACACTTGGCATGAAATATTTTTGACTGATTGTGGTAGAGTGAAAGCATTATTGAATGAAAGACAAGAAAAATAGAGAATCAGGTTCAAATAAAAGATCACATGACTTTCTTAATCGCTATCAAATATATACTTACTTTTACATTTCCTATCTTCAGAAGCTGAATATAGTTTCTAGAGCCAGGCACCGAGTTAATATAACCTAGAAATACAAGAGGCCGTTGGCTTTCCTTCAATAAATTAGAAGTGTACTCTGCTTGCAAATTTCTGTCCAGTTCGTCCCTGATATTACACAACCAGAAGTAGGAAAGGTGAGTAAACTTTCTATTAAATTCTTTACAAAACAATTGAAACAATAAGCAAGCATTTTTAAAAAAAAAGTATGCAAACATACTAGTTGCTGGCTTCTCAATTAATATCATTTCAGGTTGATTCTTGCCAGTTTGTAATAACCAGTTCTATGGAATCAGCCATGCAATATTAATTGCAATGATTCCTCAGATTGAAATAAATTGTTGTTTGTGTCTTTCTTTTCTGGCGCCTGAAATTATGTCAAGGCCTGGGGAAGACATCTGCTGCCTAGAAATTGGAAAGCTACATCTAGACTATATAAGATTAGCTTCTCAGCCACAAGCAATCTGAAAATCTGACTGTTTTGTCAGAAATTGTTTATGTTAAGGATGCAACTTTCTCCAGAGGTCCGGCGAAATACACTTCCTATGGTGGGACTCAAACCATCAGAGTCAGAAGCTCATCCTCATTTACCTTACAGTTCCACTGTCAAAGTCAAGGCTGCTGTTAGTGACTACACTGGAAGGTAAATGTACTAGTTTATCAGTTACCCATTGTTCTCGTCTTCATTACTATAAACTGCTAGTTGGAGGAAGATCGGCATAAGTGAAATATTTAGGTAGAATTTAATTTAACATCTCACCTGAAGGATGACAGCTCCACCACTGCAATGAAGACTCACCCAACACTACATCAGAGTATCAGTCGAGACCATGGGTTCTCAAACTTTGTCACAGTGAGCCTACCTAAGCTGATCAAAAACAAATTGCGCTTCCCCGTAGTTTACTAAGACATTTCACCACATATACAACACACTGAGGTTGTGGCGCATCATTGGACCCGCTCCATGTAAATTTGTATTTTTAAATAAACTCCATCATATTTTTGGCTCCTGCTTTTGCTGGAACATCAGTTGGAGAAAAAAAATTCTGCAAACTTTTTCTAACAACTTGCTTTTTAAAATCACCAAACCTTTTTTTTTAAAAAAAGTATGCAACAGCATATTTCCCAATGTCCCATTTATATAAAAAAAACTTTTTTTAAAAAAAACTTACCTGTGAGCACAGGAATAGGCTGTGCTGTATGCATATGCTAACCTGATAACAACAGCAAAATTATATTTGTATAGGGCCATTCACGTCGGGAGGATTTCCCAAGGCGCTGGACAGTCAGAGCTACGGACATGAGCTGGACGTCGGGACTGCAGTGGGTGGAGGGCGGGGGGGAAGCAGGGTGATCGAAAGCACAGTCGAAGAGGAGGGTCTTGTAGGAGGCAAGGGAGAGGGCGAGGCGGAGGGACTGCGGGATGGAGCTCCAGAGGGTGGGGGCAGAATGGCAGAAGGCCCGCCCACCAATAGTGGGGCGAGCGAGGGTGGGGACATGAAGCAAGCCAGAGCCCACTGAGCGGAGGGAGCGAGCAGGATGGCAGGAGGTCATAGAGATATGCTTGGCTATGCCAGTTCATATAAGCAGCGCTTTAAAGAAACGTTTCATCAGAGAACTTGAATTTATTTAATAAAAGCCAAGTCCCAAAAGTAGAAGCAGAGAGAAGTTTAGAAATTTATAAAATGTTGAAGGTTTAAAAACAAGTAAACTCAATACGCAAAAAAAATCACTTACTTCTTATTGCCAAAGTGAGCCACAACAAAATCTACCAGGTTTCCTGAGATGTTGACAGTCATCGAAATGGCAGGAGCAAGCTCTCCATGGGGGGATGGGAGGAGATGATGTGTGGATTGAATTATAGGATATCTTGACAGAGTCATTTCCCTAAATATGAAACATTCAGAATGAGTGCCTGGGCATTAATTTTAATCTTAAAAACTACTGAGCAAAGAATCTGGTATTCTCTAAATGAATAATAATCCTTGCATGTGATATAGCGCTTTTCACGTCTTCTAGACGTCTCAAAGTGCTTCACAGAATAGACTGTATATGTGTATATTTGTGGGCGAAATGCGGCAGCCAACAGTCCTGGATTGAAGTGACCAATTTATTATTGTTTTATTTTCTTGAGGGATTATTATTAGGAGTGTGGAGTAAGGAAACTTGCCCAAGGTTTCACCCTGCTGGGAACCGAACCCAGATCTCTCGCTTGCAAAGCAAGTGCTCTAACCACTGAGCTACAGGACTCCACGCTGTAGCTATGAGTGAAATTGATGTTTGCTTTCACTGCATTTAACAACAAATTCCATCTGTATACTGCCTTTCACGTCAGGAGGACATCCCAAATATGACGGATTTACAATTGATATTATTTGTCTGTACAGTGAAAACAACATTCAACAGCTTCACTATTGCCAATATTTTTGTTAGAGAAAGAAAATATATTCTTATGCAGTATTTTATGGCCTTATGATATTCTCAAAAAGGAAATCCATACAATACAATGTATAATTAGTTTATTGGAGCCGGCTTGGGTTGTATGCATTTGATGAAATGATCAGATGTAATACAATGATGACATTTGATGAAATGTGGAGTACTTCAGGGCTCTATCTTTGGGCTTCTTCTTTTCCTCATCTACCTGCATCCTCATGGTAATATCTACAGACATAACAGACGAACTTCCCATATGCTGTATATGCGGATGACTACAAATCTACTTCTCCACTTCTACTCTTGATTCCATGTCCATTGATACTCTGCCCGCTTGCCTATCAGGTATCAAGGTTTGAATGAGCTTAATTTTATTGCAGCTCAACAAGAAGATAGAAACTATCCTCCTTGGCTCCTGCCAACATCATCTTACTTCCGTCTCTAATGTCCTCAACTTCCTTGGCATTGCTCTCAATCTCACTAAACCAGTGAACAACCTTGTTCAGTTCCATCCTCAGCTCTTCTTCTTCCTCATGTTTCAGTGCTTGACCAAAACTACTTTTATTCACTTTTGCCACACAGCCTGCCTCCATCCTAGATCACATCAAATGCTGCCAAAACCTCTATTCAAATCTTTGTTACCTTCTGCCTAGGCATTTCCAACTTACTCCTTCCCGGTCTCCCTAGTTCCACCATCCATAAGTATCAGTCAATTCAAAATCCGCTCCCTCAGCTATGCATACTAATCACCAGACTCTACTGGCTGTCTATGGAATAGCCTGTTTCAGTGGACGTTAAAGATCGCATGGCACTATTCAAAAAGAAAAGGGAGTTTCTCCCGGTATCCTAGCCAACAATCCTCCAGATAACATGGGTCAGATGTTGATTTGTGGGACATTATTGTGCATCCACTTGATTGCCTACAAAATATGCAGTCACCACACCTTTGGAGTCCTGTAGCTCAGTGGTTAGAGCACTCGCTTTGCAAGCGAGAAACCAGAGTTCAATTCCAGGCAGGTCAGGGCAAAACCTTGGGCAAGTTTCCTTACTCCACACAGAGCCTAATAATAATCCCTCCAAAACCAAAAAAAGCCAATAAATTGGTCATTTTCAATCCATGACTGTTTGTGGGACATTGCTGTGCGCAATTGGCTGCCGCGTTTGCCCACAAATATACAGTCACTTCACTTTACAGTGTGTTCTGTGAAGCGCTTTGGGACGTCCTCCCGACGTGAAAAGCGCTATATCAAATGCAAGGATTATTATTATTATTACTTTACAGAAAATCCCGTGAAACGTTGCCCCGTTTCAAAGATGTGAGAAGGTACTACAGTATAGTAAACATGAGGATCATTACAGTACAGTGAATGTGGTGAGAAGGACGTGAGACACCAGTTAAGCAACTAGTTACTTAATGCTGCTTTTACAATACAGCGCCATATTCCCAACCTCCAAAGATACATTAGAAGCACTGACATATTCTTCTAGCAGTTTTACATTGCCGAAGACCTCCAAAGTAATTCCACATATTTCTCACGTCTCTTAAGAAATATTCATTTATGTGCAAACGAAACACCTTTTCTGAAGAGATATGACGGAAGACTCACCCCCAGGTGTGATCTTTTGTACTTGGACCAAAATCTGTGTAAAATCCCAGTTTTTCTCCCAGCCACATAGTAAGATCATTGTTTCCCAAGTATGGCTTTGATGAATCACTCTCCAATATAGTGATAAAATCAGCATCTATTAACAAGCAGTAGCACAAATTTGAGATGACAAAAGATTATTTTATGAATTTCTATCTCAACCAGCAATATTTAAAGTCACCAAAGACAATGAAATCTCAATTATCCACTATAACAGGGGCTCTTCTCCAACCCTTCCCTGATGTAGATATTTGAAATGGCATATACTGTACTTGAGATTTCACTTTAGATTGTAAACCAAAGTAGTCAGTTAAAAATCCCATGATTCATTACTTTTTTGTACAGTTGAAATAAAGATGATTTCAATTATTTTTCTGATAAAATAATTTTAAATTTTTCACTGATTGATTTAGTGAAATAGCTTTGGATATGCCAGCTTATTAACATCGAAATTATGTCATTGTTGATTTTGCATTAATTCAATTTGACATGAGAAACACCCCAAGCATGCAACCAAACCCTACTAGAAAACTTAAGGCAGGCAACCTTCAAGGTAGAAGGGATGAGTTAAGAGACAGTCTGGGAGGCATTACTGAAGTTTTTCAGGATGTGCATTTATTGTCAACAAATCAGTTGAGGATAAATGCTGGAGGGATTGAGGCAAGGAGTTCCAGAGTTGAGGAGTGTAGTAGCTGAAGGTATGTCTGACAATGGTGATGTGGAGGGGCCAGGAGTCACGTAGCAGGCCTGTCTTTCAATAATGTTGTGTGTTTTGCCCTTCCCTCTTCTGAGTTAAAGACTGAACCGTCGATTATATACAGGTTATTGGCTTAGGATCTGGAAATTGCAATTGATTACCACTCAGTCTTTTTCATTACGTCTTTAATTACCTTGAAATACTTTTGAGACACTTCAACCTAATAACCACAACAATAACATTACAAGGCACTGGATAGCCGGAGTTTCGGACCCGAGCTAAGGGTCAGGATTGGGGAGGGTGGAAGCAGAGTGATCGAAAGCACGGTCAAAGAGGAGACTCTTGAGGTGGGTCTTGAAGGAGGCAAGGGAGGGGGCGAGATGGAGTGACTGCGGGATGGAGTTCCAGAGGGTGGGGGCAGAGTGGCAGAACACCCACCCGCCAATAGTGGGGCGGGGGAGCGAGCAGGGGGTTAGGAGGTCGCATAGGTAGAGGGGAGTAGGACCATAGAAGGCTTTGAAAGTGAGGACTAGGATCTTGAACTGCATCCTCTGTGTTATGGGAAGCCAGTGGAGTCAGGCGAGGATCGAGGTGATAGGGTCACGGAGCCTGATGCGGGAAAGGACATGGGCTGCAGAGTTCTGGATAATCTGCAGCCTATGGAAGGAGGAGTTGGGGAAGCCGACAAGCAAGGAGTTTGCATAGTCAAGCTTCGATGCATGAAAGCGTGTATGAGGGTTTCGGCGGCCTGTGGTGTGAGACAGTGATGGAGCCGGACGATGTTGGGAGGTGGGAGAAGGCAGAGTGGGTCATGGCACAGATGTGGTTAGAAAGAATAGTTGAGGGTCAAACAAGACGCCAAAGTTTTGGACTGGCTTAGCAATGTGGAGTGTGCAACCATGGATGGTGATGCTGTCAGCGCCTGAGATGAGGAGGCGCTGATGGGAGCCAATCAGGAGAGCCTCAGTCTTGTTGACTTTCAACTGAAGAAAGTTAACTCTCACCCAGGACTTGATGTCTGACAGACATTCTGTCAGAATAGCAGTGGTCCTGGAGTCAAGCATGGAGCCAGAGAGGTACAGTTAGGTGTCATCCGCATACATGTGGAAGTTGACCCCACGTCTGCAGATGATGTCATGAGGATAGAGTGGTCGACGGTGTCAAAAGCAGTAGAGAGGTCAAGGAAGACGAAGAGGCAGAGGGAGCCCTGGTCGCAGATGGACAGAATGTCATTTGTCACTTTGACCAGGGCTATTTCTGTGCTGTGGGCGACTGGAAACCTGATAGGAGGGGTTCGTGAAGGGAGTGATGGGAGAGGAAGGAGCATTTTTCTTCTTCATAAAACTTTTGTCTTCCTTCTTTCCAATACAAATATTCTCAATCTCCTCTCGTCACTGCATTTATCAATTATTTTGCCCATCCCTTTCTAATGTCAGGATGTCCCTACTGTGATATGGACAAGCAGAAATGTATACAATTCTGAAAGTGAAGCCAGTCCAGTGCTTTTCACAATCCCAATAACATTCATGTGATTTATGCTGTCTCTCTACCAACAACCATAGCAGCTTGGTTCCTATCCTTGCCTATTCCATACTGTATTAATAGTTTCATGAGGTATCTACCAATACCCTCACATCCCTCACTTGGATTGCATACTGCAGGGTTCTACTATATGGCATTTATTCCTCTTATTTCACTTAATCCTCTGCCCTAGTCTTATCACTTTACATTTATTCGAAGTACATACCTGTCTGTTTGATAAGTTTTGCTGATTTTTCTAAACTTGACCAACCTTGATTATCAATTCCAAACCTGCAGGACCATATCATGGCTGAGAACACTTTTTTCACTGGCTGATAAAACAGAGAAAACATTATAGGAGGTACATAATGACGGGGGAGGGGGGGGGTGGGGGGAAATGCACTGAACGCCACATTTTTCCTATTTGTACAATACAAATATACATTTATATGACACCTTTCATGTCGGGAGAACATTCCAAAGTACTTAGCAGTGCTGCCTGGGGACCTGAACTGGGATTGGGAGAAGAGGGGGTGAGGAAGGGAAAGATTACTGAAAGCACAAAGAAAGAGATAGATTTGAGATGGCTCTTGAACAAGGTGATGGGAGGGCGTATGCCAGAGGAGTATTATGAGGTAGTACTACATTTTTATACCATATTTGGTTCTAAAAGGTAGGTGAATGTGGAATAATTTACACATGAGGGACAAGGCAATAGAAGATTATGGAAGAGGGATTAGGGAGGGTGAAGACTCACGTGGAGTATAAACACCAGCACAAATTGGTTGGGCTAAATGGACCTCTTCCATGCTGTAATATTCTATATAATTTTATGTAAAAACTTAGCATGAAATGCATGAGAGCATTGCCACTATCCTGACCACAACCTGGATGCACATCACTACCCATTCCACCAGTTGAAAGTGAGGAGTTTTAGCAGCAGCTGCTTACTGCTCTGCATTATCAATCAAAATGGATACTAAACCCCATGTATATGAGAAATTTAATTCACTTTGAGGCATACTGAAACGTACAGTAAACCTCACATAAGTTGTATCAGTTGGAACCATACATTTACTATGATTTATGCAAAGTATGAGTTTATGTGAAACTTGCATAGAATGAAAGCTCTTGAATGGGACTTGGGCAGATGTATGACTGAGGTGATTAAATGATTTATACAGATCAGACTTATGCAAGTTTTTTTACTGTAATTGTTAGGTTCACACATTTTGTGAGTTTCCTCATCAGCTATTGAATGCCTTTAGCATGTTGGGAGAACCCATGAGGAACAGCTTGTGAAGTTCTAGAGGTCCAAACCCAATGTGGAATACCAGGTTTACTCAGCACCAACAGCTCAATGATTTGCCTTGGTAAAATCTCAATGTTTAATATGTTTAGTATTATGTTTATTCTAATTTTTACTCCCTTAAAACCCATCGCAGTCTAATTTCCTACCCAAACTAAGCTCTTGCTATTTATAATATGGAAAACATGTTGCCATTATATTCTCCATCCACTGCTATGTCCCATTTCAGTTCTCTGTTCACAAATGCCTCTTTTTTAAAAAAAAATTCTGATTCTAGAGTCTAATTTGATATATTTGCAAAACAGATTTGAAGAATAATTATGAATTCCAATTAATTTTCGATTAATTTGTAATATTCACAATTGGCTGGCAAAGTGCCCTAAAAAAGCCAGGGAGGGAAAACAGATAGACAGATAAATTAGGCAACAACAACTTGCATTTATATAGCGCCCTTCATGCGGAGCAGTGTCTCGGAGCACTCTGCACAGTCTAATACTCGGCTCAATGGTCACCTTCATTTAAAGTGAAACATATAAAACATTTGTGATAGGTGACCATTGTAGATTGTACAAATGGAAATGTTCACCTGGTTCAGTAGTTTCTTCTGATAAACCTGGAATCGAAGTCCTAATCCTAGCAATCCTATGCCCACAAACAGCCAAAGCACTAAATGGAAGAAGTATAACATTTGAAAAAAATCATATTCAAAAGAAGTTTTTTCAATTAATTGTTTATATCAAGCAAAGTATTGTAAGATATATGACCAGATATGACGTGAAGTACACAACAATCTCTGACATTAAGTATGCAGTGTTACCATGTTGAATTTGTGCTGTTAAGAGTATGTCAACATTAAGAACAATTTACATAAATAATTTTTCTTTAAAAATCCTTGCATTTGATACAGCACCTTATCACATCTTCGAGACATCTCAAAGCACTTCACAAAATATACTGTAAAGTGAATTGATTGTATATTTTGTGGGTGAAATGCGGCAGCCAATTGCATACAGCAGTGTCCCACAAACAGTCGTGGTCTGAGTGACCAATTTATTATTTTTTTGAAGGAATTATTACCCCTGGAATAGTGAACCGCCAATTGACTAACAACTGGGTTCCTACTTGCTAAGTAAACAGAGGTGTGTGGAGTAAGGAAACTTGCCCAACATTTCGCCCTGCTAGGAATCGAATTCAGCTCTCTCATTTGTGAGGCGAGTGCTCTAACCACTGAGCTCCACAGATAGCACTTTTCACATTAGGAGGACACCTCAAAAGCTTGACATAGCTGACTGGGAGCCCAGTCAAAAAGATAGATAGATCTTAAGACTTAGGATCTTGGGTTCTGAAGGTGGGGAGGGAGGGGGCAAGGGGGATGGACTCCAGGATGAAGTTTCAGAAAGTGGGGACAGAATGGCTGAAAGCTTGCCCAATGATAGTGGGTGGATCAGGCAGGAGACATAAAGCAAGCTGATGTTAGTTAAGCAGAGAAAGTAGGTGGACTGTAGGGTTGCAGGAAGTCGCAGAGGTTTTGCCATTTAAGCAAGAATTTTTAGAATTATTCTGTGGTGTGTCAGCAATGCTATATTGATTTCTCTATGGTGCAATGCTTTAATAGCCCAGCAGGTGGCGCCTCTTGACAGAACAACTTAACAAAAGAACCTAAAATGTGTATAATAATCCTTGCATTTGATATATTGGCTTATCACATCATCAAGAAATCTCAAAGCACTTTATACAAGCTTTACTGTAAAGTACAGTGCCTGTACATTTTGTAGACATAAGTGGCAGCCAAATTGCACACAGTCATGTCCCTCAAACGACCATGCATCAAATTACCAATTAGATTAAACGTCTCTTCTGAAGTACGGCACCTCCGATAATGCAGTGCTCTTACAACACTACATTAGTGTACCAGCCTAGACCTCAAGTTCAAAGTCCTGATCTGGGGCATGAATCTATGACCTCCTGATTCAGAGACTAGAGTGCTACCAACTGCGTCAGGCTGCCACCTCTATTGTATGACATTCCATGGAGAAAAGACAGTTTAGGAGGTGCTTTTCCCAGTGGCCATTCAGTGGTGAGGCAAGTAGAGCGTATTTTAGATGCCAGGGTTTAAATTTATGCCAGATTATATAAAGCAGCAGAAAAAGTTTTCACAAATTTCAATTAACTGAATATTAAATCAGTATACAGTACCATTTTATGACTATTTCAACAAACGCATTTTTGTCACTTACATAGTTTAACAAACTTTACGCAGTGTTTCAATACAGGATTTTTGATGCTTTCTGACAGAAAGGACTTTGGCTGTGGCCCAACCCACAATCCCAAACCAGTCAGCACCACAAGCAGACCTGAAAAGGAAGAATTACAAGTTAAAGGCTTGTTCCCAAATGTTTAATATTCATCTCCAATTTTTCTCCAGACAAAATGTCAGACGATTGACACTTATGTGAATTAAAGCCAAAATAAAATATTTAAAATATTTTTTCTAGTAGCTACCTTCTTATTGGAGCTACTTTCTTAATTAATGTAGCTCAATACAACTGCTGTACTTACATTGCATTACACAAAGGTCTGAAACTATCAAAGAACTGAAAAATAACTACACACGGAGATGTTAAGGTGAACATGTGTCAAAATCAAGTATGATGTGTATAAGCTACAGCCCTATTCACTCAGCAATTGTTTCTTATACCCAAAAGCAATTTTCATGTCTGAATCCAACTAAGAAAATTCTTGTCTCTCCCTTCCCTCAACATTTTCTAGGATCTTGTCCAAGTGAACGTCAATTCTACCATATTACATTACAGCCAAATCCAATTTTGTCTGGAGGAGGGGGTGGGAGTTGGTCAACAGCACAACAAGTTACATTTATAGAGCGCCTTTCACGTCGGGAGGACATCCCAAGGCGCTGGACAGTCAGGGGTCAGGATCCGAGCAGGGGAGAGGGGTGGAGTAGGGGTGAGGGAAGGCAGAGAGGTGGGAGGGCGACCGAAGGCAAGTTCGAAGAGAAAGGTCTTGAGACCGGTCTTGAAGGAGGCGAGGGAGGAAGCGAGGCAAAGGGACCGTGGGATGGAGTTCCAGAGTGTGGGGGCAAAGGCTGAAAGTCCGGCCACCGATGGTCGGGCGGGAGACATGGAGCAGGCCGGAGCCCGCTGAATGGAGCAAGTGGGCAGGTTGGTAGGGAGTCAGCAGGTCAGAGAGGCAGGTCAGAGAGGTAGGCCATGGATGGCCTTGAAAGGGAGGACGAGGATCTTGAATTCGATCCTCTGAGGGATGGGGAGTTAGTGAAATCGGGCGAGGGTGGGAGTGATGGGGTCGTGGAGCCTGGTGCGTGAGAGTACATGAGCTGCAGAGTTTTAGATGATCTGGAGCTTGTGAAGGGAAAAGTTGGGAAGGCCGATGAGGAGGGAGTTCCCGTATTCGAGCCTTGATGTGATGAATGCATGGGTGAGGGTTTCGGCAGCCTGAGGGGTGAGGCAGCGGCAGAGTCTGGCAATGTTGTGGATGGAGGTGGTGGTAGACAGTGCTGGTCATGGCGCGGATATGGGGGAGAAAGGACAATTCAGGGTCAAACAAGACACCCAGGTTCCTGACTGGCTTAGTGAGGTTCGGTGTGCAGCTGTGGATGCTGATGCTACCAGCGCCTGAGGTGCGGAGGCGCTAACGCGAGCCAATCAGGAGGGCCTCAGTCTTGCTGACGTTGAGTTGGAGAAAGTTGTCCCTTGTCCAGGACTTGATGTCGGACAGGCAGTCGGTCAGGACGCCAGTGGTCTTGGAGTTGAGGGTGGAGGCAGGGAGATAGTGTTGGGCGTCATCCGCATACATGTGGAAATTTACCTCATGTCTGTGGATGATGTCACCAAGGGGAGCATGTAGAGGGTGAAGAGGAGGGGACCGAGGACAGAGCCCCGAGGAACACTGCACGTGATGGTCCGGAACTGGAGGAGAAGCCGTTTGCTGCGACGAAGTGGAGGCGGTGTGAAAGGTAGGACCTGAACCAGTCCAGTACAGAACCTTGAAGGTTGAGGTGGGAAGAGAGGCGTTGGAGGAGGATTGAATGGTCCATGGTGTCAAAGGTAAGGTCAGAAGATAAGGGACAGAACAGTGAACCGTACTTGGGAGGAAGAAACTGGCTATTCCCCTCCTTTAGTCCAGATACGCAGACCAATTTTAGTTCTCCTTACCAATGTCCAGCTTGAATCAGTTCAGTGAAATTGATACATATGTGGATTTGGACCTTCCTGATCTGTATTGGTCACTGCAACACAGGTGATGCATTTATCCACTGAGCGATTAGGTAGAACTTCACACAAACCAAATGCCTATATGAATATCCAAGAAAATCTTACATTGTAATATAATTGCAGTGGGAGTGGTCTGAAGAATATTTTGCTGAGGTTTTACCCCAATAAAATGGCTGTTTGTTCTGGAGAAAAGGATTGCTGTGTTACAATGGTTAATGAAACTCAACCCAGAGATTTAAATGCATAAACTAACTGGTAAAACATCAATCTGCAAATAACAGTCTTCTGTGCGGAGTAGTTCACTAAAGGAAAGAATGCAAAAGTGACCAACAGTGGGAGGTGAGAAAATAACAGGCCATGCAGGGTCCACAACTGAAATAAAGGAAAAAAAAAAGATCGAACAAGGAAGCTAATAAGCAGACTGAAAGTTTTAACACTAAGAGATCCTCAACATTTTTAAAGGACGTTTGTTCTAAATTGGCCAAACTTTGCACACTAAAAGTACCTTCTCACTCAGCCCATCTCAGCAACTATCCCAGAACTGACTCCACTATCCATGTAGAAAACAAAATATGGCAAATGTCTTGTTTTATTGTGACACAAAGAAGTCATTCAAGTCATGATCATCATTTTTGTCACAATATGATCACACTTAATTGATTTGATGAAGCAAATTATATCATTACCAAGGTGTTTGACGAAAGTAATTTGTCTTTCAGAAAATTGAAAACAAAATTATTCTCTTTTGTAAGTGATTAATTTACTCATGAAATTTCACTGAAGGATAGGCCTCAGAAACTAAGTTTTGGTTAAAGTAAAAATGTGTCATGATTCGCATTACAAAACAAGTTACAAGTAGTTTAATAATTACTTTGCTGAGGGACTTTGCTACCAAATCTGGGACCTGGCTTTTAATCCAGCTCACACTAATGAAATCAGTTTTCTCTCTCGACTGACTGTAAGGATCCAATCTGAGTTTGGGACAGTGCCAATCCAGTTCCCAGTGATTTTAATGTACATAAGTGGACGGTAATGAATTTTGGAGCAAGACACAGTAATGTGTCCATTAGCAGAGGCGGAGAAGGAAAATAATTGGATGTGATTATTAATCATTTCACTTGAGGCTTCCAGTGAATGTGAAGCTTCTATCACAAGCTAATCAAATTCTAGGTTGCATCTCAAGGGCATTTGATGTCTTTTGATCAGTCAAAATAAGTTAATTTAACTTTATTTATATCACTATATGTAGGCCATATTGAAATATTGCGTGCAGTTGGGTATTCTAACTTCATTCAGGTCTGAACTCTTATTGGAAAAAAGCTGAGTAGGGATATGATTCATGTCTTTAAATAGCAGGCATTTGTGATGTAGATATAAGGGGGCTGCTTAACTTACAGTGAGAGAAAAGGACATAGGCTTTAAATTAAAAAAGGTTTCAAATAGCACTAAAGATTAGAAGGATGTTTTTCTCCCATAAAGTAGTTAACAGTCTCCCAACAAACTCAGCTGATTTTTCAAAACAATAACTGATATGAATCTGCTTGGCGAGGGAAGCCAAAAAAGCCATTGATGCTCAGTAAACTGTGGCATTAAAGAGAGAAGAGAGAGATACTGGTTAAATAAGGATACAAAATACAATAAGGGATATAGACAAAAGGAAGAAAAATAGAATTAAAGAATTATCATAGCTTTAAGAGTCGAGCAGGCTCAATAAGTTGAAGGGTCATTCCTGTTATTATTGGAAGATTGAAAAAAACAAATACTCCACAGAACAAGTATAAATCTTGATGCTGTGGAAAGAAGGAAAAGGAGAATGCTGTTTGGGTGAACCAGACCTTTCTTCTGCAATTGGTAGTGCTGCAACTGAACATGCTTATTGCCCATACTGGCTTCTGCTCAAAGTGGAAAATAATTTCATTTTGCAGCATTGGTACCACTCATATGCCCTAACCTAAATAAGACATAGTTGCTAGTTCTGTAGATTGTATAAAATCATTATGATCTCCACTGTAACCCAATTCAGAAAAGTAAAAAGTTATTACAATTTTGATGATATACTTGGAAGCAAAAACAAATGAAAATAAATTAACTTTGTTTTCATACTTACAAGAACGTACCAATCTAAGGACTGATTTAATCAACAACAGTACATTTGTAAAGCGCCTTTCACGCCGGGAGGACTTCCCAAGGCGCTGGAGAGACAGTTTCGGACCTGAGCTGGGGGTCGGGATTGGGAAGGGTGGAGGGCAGGGGGGGAAGCAGGGTGATCGAAAGCACAGTCAAACAGGAGGGTCTTGAGATGGGTCTTGAAGGAGGCAAGGGAGGGGGCGAGACGGAGGGACTGTGGGATGGAGTTCCAGAGGGTGAGGGCAGAGTGGCAGAAGGCCCGCCCGCCAATGGTGGGACGGGCGAGACGGGGACATGAAGCAGGCCGGAGCCCGCTGAGCAGAGGGAGCAGGCAGGTTGGTAGGGGGTTAGGAGGCCAGAGGTAGGGGGGAGCAAGACCACGGAGGCTTTTGAAGGTGACGGCCGGGATCTTGAACTGTATCCTCTGTGTGATGGGAAGCCAGTGGAGTCGGGCGAGGTAGGATCACGATTTATATATTATACAAATAATCCACATTTTGTTTAGATTTTCTGACACTTACCCAATATCACACCTGTTTTTTCTCTTGCAATGACACCTCCAGGCACAAAGTTATAAGCTGTGCACCACACAGTGGCAAGCATCTCGAGCACATACACTAACATGGCTGTGCCTAAGACCTTCCCAGGATGACCTGAACCAATCATACGTTCAACCATATGCGGCCAAAGAGACATGGTATAAATAGATAACATAGTTCCTGAAACAAATGCTTCTTCTCTTCGAAGACAGAAAATACCAATTGCTGATGCCACTCCTGTAATATTAAAAACAGGGATTTATTTTCACAACACAAACCTCCCTAATGTTCCTATCCTATAACCAATTAACCCAGGAGCATTTATTTTGGTATGTAAATGACTTTGTGTCACGTCCTCCTCCATTTTCTCCTTTGCTGAAACCCACATCATACATTCCTGCAAATGTCAATAGTTTGTATCAACTTGGCTTAGTTGATAACACTCTTGCCTTTGGGTCAGAAATGGTGAATTCAATTTCTACTTTAAGCATTCCAGTCAAAGGCTGACATCACAGTGCAATACTGGGGGAGATACAAAAAAGATGTAACCTATGTGCCTTGAATTGATAAATCAGGTGGCATATACACTGCACTTAATCTGTCTAATATGGTGAAACTACCACCAGAGATCTCTGTTCTAGTGTTGAATTTATAGTGTTGAATTTATATATTTAAACAGTCACCTATGGCATTAGGCTCTTTACTATCCAAAATAAGAAATACCACTGGAGGTAAGGACCAGGGTTAATTGTCTGTGCACTACAGTTTTCAGTTGTTCTTATCAGAGCCTACAGAAAACAAGCTTCAAATTTTAACAGTTTTAAGAAAACAACATGCATTGCTGCTCCTCGTGCATTGTTAAAAATACAGCATTTGATTAAAGCACCAAGTATCACATACCTATTAGCCAAAACGATATTTTGTTAATGATATTAGGCCAAAAGGATAACATCATTCCAATAGCCAAAGCTAATAGAATTATACCTCTGAAACAAGAGAAACGTTAAGTTTAGGTAAAAATTTCACACAGCTCAGAAACAAGATTTTTGTAAATTTAAAATAAAATTATACATTAAGTGTTTGGGAGGGTACATTTTGTGTTCAAGATGGTAAAAGAAAAGTACTCCTACATTGTTTACTCTGGAACATCTCATGTAACAGATGCTCACCCATAAGGATTAGGATCTGGCCCAGAACGTGGATGGCCACTCACAGCCCAGCGAGAGACCAAGGAGACCTCTCCAAATATCCAGTGCGTGAGAAACAACAAGCTTCCGTATGCTGCAGCGGGTATTGTCCAACGGAAGCAAGCTTTCCTCTCCCTGGAAGTCCTCCCCTCTGTTTCCAGTGGATACTTCTGAAAATCTGAAATAATAATTCTTACATATGATAAAGCACCTTTCATGTCACAAGGTTGTATCAAAAAACCTCAAAGGATAAATTGTAAAATGTGTATTTTGACAAATGCAGCAGCCAATTTGGGCATAGCAATATCCCACAAACAACCATGAAGTGAATTATCAGTTTTATTTGTAGGATTATTGACCAGGCACCAAGAGAAACTCCTCTGTGAAGCACTTTGGGACATCCTCCCAACATGAAATGTGCTACACCAAATGTAAGGATTATTATTAAATCTGTTTTTAAGGTTAGAATCCATCCATCCACCCACCCATCCATTCAGCTTCGCCAGTCACTTGAAGTATCACATTTCACATCCAACCAACTCAGAATCAAAAAATGCAATCTTTCTCTTTATGCTTCAGCGTAGAACACACAAACAAATGGTAAGGTGGTCTTATCTAGTGGGTCTTACATGAAGTAGAAAAATATTGCAACGTTGTACTTCAAATGCTTCATGCTTTAAGTTTAACTTTTACCTGAATGCAATCTGTCCAAAGTCACTATGACACCCAAGGAAAGTATTGCAGCGTTGAATGCGGTGTAATGCCAGACTGGGTTTAGGGAGGTGAACCATATCCTGATTGCGAGGAGCAGAAAGTGACTCAGAATGAAACCCCAGATTCTGCAGACCCTAGAATTATTGACAACAAGTTAGAGTTTGCTTACCATTGTGCAGCAGTTCATGCAGAGACATTTACTAGACGCATATGGTTAAAGTTAGCCATTTTAAAAGATTTTCTGATTTCCATACTATTCTATTCATTTTAGATACTAAAGAAATTCTCCAAACTTAATGCCTCACTCCTCAGTTTTAGTCATGGTCAAATCATTCTGCAATAAATGTGCCTTACTCTGGGCTACGTTAACATCCACTCTCCTCAACACCTGACAGGTGAATGGAAATTCACCCATTCCTTCCCACTTTCACCCTTTGGAAAAGAGAACCATATGGTCAATAGCACTACTCTATGCAGTCCAGTAAAAATTACCAAAAAGACAGTCCAATTGAAAATGGACCAGACCCTTTGCATGGGAACGTAATACTCCACCACTGGAGAAACCATGCTTCTTCCTAAAGGCTTCTCTTATGCCTCTCCACTCACAAGGTTTAGTAAACCTGCTTATGAAGTTCATTAATAAGCTCACCCCAAAAGATTTGCAATCTGAGTGTCAAGTGTATGGAGCAGAATAACTCATTGAGGCACATTTATACAAGGACACTGTATCTCTTCTGAATATTATAAAACCAAGTTGGTTTTATTCACTGGTCAATTCAGATGAGGTCAGATGAACATTTGAATCAACGTTTTCTGACTATGAAAGCAAGCTAGCAATGGCAAAAACATTATGCAATCTTGTTTGATTATCCAATTGTACATTTTTACTAACATTTGCAAATAGAAGGTAAGAAAACCCCAAACTGAGCAATATCTACACAAAATAGTACCTTTGCTGAATGCTTCCTGACCACCATGTAACAGCTTGAACAAGGAGAGATGAAGCTACACCTGAGGCCAGAAACACCACCCGGATCACAGGGTTAGGGGTCTGATATGAAGCAATACCACCTGCAATAACAAAACATTGTTTTATGATATACATATTTGTTGCTCCTATTGTATTTAAGAACCATTGCAGCTTTGATATCAGTGCATTTTTTTGGGGGGGAGGGAGCCAGGTGTCTGACACATGTGGAAACCCATCACCATGCTTACAAGTATCCAAACCAAACTGAGATTTAAATTCATCCCACCTACACATGGAAATCCCAGAGATAGATTATATAAGGTTAGGTTTGCAGGATGCAGCCCTGAAGGTCTCTTTATAAGACTCAGAAGCCCAAATTGTCCCATTGTTGCTCACAGTTCACTGTCTTCTACACTGCCTCTGGGGTTTGGGCTACCTCCTTTTATTATGACAACCGGAACTGTACACAATGCTCAAGTTTCTTTGTAAGTCCTTTGCTGCCTCCTGATTCTAGGTCCCCTCACTACCTTGCACTGGGTTTACAAATCCACCCCTCCTGACCCAAACTCCCATCTCGGGTCCAAAAACCCTGATTGACCCTGACTGGGTCATCTTTCCGAAAGACAAACTCGTACACAACCTAGGTGTCAGGTTCGACCCCGAATTATCCTTCCTCCCCTACATCCGGTCCCTCACCAGCACCGCCTTCTTCCACCTCCGACTCATTGCCCGTCTCCGCTAATACCTCGCTCCAAAAGCTGCGGAAACCCTAGTCCATGCCTTTGTCACCTCTCGGCTGGACTATTCTAACGCCCTCCTCACTGGTCTCCCATCCACCACCATCCATAAAATCCAGATCATTCAAAACTCTGCCGCCCGTATTCTCACCCACACCAAACTCCGCTCCCCGATTACCCCAGTCCTTGCCAGACTGCACTGGCTGCCGGTCCTGGAGAGGATCGACTTCAGGATCCTCACCCTCGTATTCAAATCCCTCCACTCCTCTGCATCCCCCTACCTCTCTGACCTCCTCTCTCCTCAAAACAGTACCTATTGCCTTCGTTCCTCCGGGTCTGGCCACCTCCTCATCCCCCGAGTCCTCTGCTCCACCCTCGGTAGCTGTGCCTTCAGCCACTATGCCCTGGAACTGCCTTTCTCACTCCCTTCACTATGCTCCCTCTCTTCCTATTTTCAGGTCTCTTCTGAAGACCCTTCTCTTCGACAGCGCCTTTGGTCACCTTCGTCCCCCTCCCTCTGACCCCTGGGGGACACCACTGCACACTTTCCTCCAGTCAGAAATACAACAGTTAGGAACAAAGGAACATAGGAATTAGAAGCAGGAATAGGCCATTCAGCCTCTCCAGCCTGCCCTGCTCTGCTAACCTAACTCCATCTGCCCATCTTATCCCCATATCCCTTAATCCCTCTATCCATTAGAAATCTAACAATCTTAGTCTTGAATATGTTCAAGGGCTGAGCATCTACAGCCTTCTGGGGTAGAGAATTCCATAAATTCACTACCCTCTGAGTGAAGAAGTGTTTCCTCAACTCTGTTCGAAAGGGCTGTCCCTTAATCTTAAAACTGTGACCCCTAGTTCTAGATTCTCCTACCAGGGGAAATAATCTCGCACTGTCTCCTCTGTCAAACCCCCTAAGAATCTTACATGTTTCTATAAGATCACCCTAATTCTTCTATATCCTAGAGAATATAGGCCTAGTTTACTCATCCTATCCTCATTGGTCAATCCCCTCATCCAAGGAACTAACCTAGTGTATCTACTCTGCGCTGCACCACTCTAAGGCGAGTATATCCTTTCTTAAATAAGGAGCCCAAAACTCCACATGATATTCTAGGTGCGGTCTCACCAAGGCCTTATACAACTGCAGCAAGACTTCCCTACTCTTGTACTCTTAACACTTCTGCAACAGACACCAACATGCCATTAGCCTTCCTAGTTGCTTGCTGCACCTGCATACTAACTTTTTATGACTGGTGTACAAGGACACCCAAATCCCTTTGAACACTAACACTATCTAGTCTCTCCCCCTCTAGAAAATAATCTGCTTTTCTGTTTTTACTACCTAGGTGAATAACTTCACACTTCCCCACATTATCTTCCATCTGCCACCTTCTTGCCCACTTACCTAGCCTATCTATATTCCTTTGCAATCTTTTTGTGTCAACCTCAGAGCTTACTCTCCCACCTAGCTTAGTATCATCCGCGAATTTAGATATTTTAAGTTCTATGTCCTCGTCGAGATCATTGATATAGATTGTAAATAGTTGATAAAACTATTTACAATAGTTGAGGCCCAAGCACTGATCCTTATGGCACTCCACTAGTCACATCCCGCCAATCTGAGGAGGATCCTACTCTCTGTTTTCTTCCCATTAGCCACTCTTTGATCCATGCTAATATATTGCCTTTAATTCCATGGGCCCTAATCTTGTGGAGCAGCCTTTTATGTGGCACCTTATTGAATGCCTTCTGAAAATCTAAATATACTATATCTACTGGTTTCCCCCTATCTAACCTGCTTGTTACATCCTTAAAAAACTCTAAAAGATTTGTTAAGCATGACTTCCCTTTTGTAAAGCCATGTTGACTCTGCCTAATCATGTTATGGTCTTCTAAGTACCCCATTACAATGTCCCTAATTAAGGATTCTAGAAATTTCCCTACTACTGATGTCAGACTGACTGGTCTATAGTTCCCCATCTTCTCTCTCCCACCCTTCTTAAATAGTGGTGTTATGTTTGCGATCTTCCAATCAATGGGAACCTTTCCAGAATCCAGGGAATTTTGGAAGATCAAAAACAAGGCATCCACTATATCCGCAGCCACCTCTTTTAAAACCCTAAGATGCAGGCCATCAGGTCCAGGGGATTTGTCATTTTTCAATCCCGACAGTTTCCCTAGTACTAATTCTTTACTGATGTTCATTTCCCTAAGTTTCTCACTAACATTAGCTTCTTGGTTCCCCTCTACTTTTTTGTTAGTTTTCAGTGGCTTCTAATAGTAAGACAGAAGCAAAGTATTTGTTTAATGACTCTGCCATATCTTTATCCCCTATTAAATTCATCCTGTTTCTGCCTGTAATGGACCCACATTAACTTTTGCTAGTCTCTTCCTCTTTATGTATTTGTAAAAACTCTTGCAGTCTGTTTTTATGTTCCTAGCTAGTTTGCCCACATAATCGATTTTCTCCCTCCTAATCAGTTTCTTAGTTTTTCTTTGTTGGTCTCTGAAGCCCTCCCAATCCTCGGGTTTACTGCTCTTTTTGGCAGTATTATAGATCTCTTCTTTTAATTTTATACTTTCTCTAACTGCTCTAGTTAGCCATGGTTCAACCACTTTTTATTCCTCTCTGCTTTCTGCCTTCCAGCCAGTTCTGTATCTGCCCTGCCACTATCCCTACGACTTTAATACCGTGGGCTTCTATTTTGCTCACAAGTCTCTCATGTGGCACTTTATCAAATGCCCCATGAAAATCCATATAAACCACATCATCTGCACTACCCTCATCCACCCTTTTCATTACTTCATCAAGAAGAACTCTTATCAGGTTTGTTGGACACGGTTTGCCTTTAACAAACCCATGTTGGCTGTCCTTTATTAACCCACATTTTTTTAAGTGAAAATTTATTTTGTCCTAGCTTATAGTCTCTAGAAGTTTCCCCACTACTGACATTAGGCTGACTGGCCTGCAGTTCCCAGGTTTATCCTTTTGTCCTTTTTTGTACAGGGGAGTAACATTTGCAACCCTTCAGTCCTCTGGCATCACCCTAGTATCCAAGGAAGATTGAAGCCTCTGTTATTTCCACCCTTACTTCTCTTAGTAACCTAGGATGCATCCCATGCAGACTGGGTGACTTATCTACCTTGAACACCGACAACCTTTTTAGTACCTCCTCTCGGACATGTAAAAGAACAAGGTACCGTGGTTCCACACTGGCTCTGAGGTGGAGTGTGCATCCATGCAGGTTGAAGCTGACAGTGCCTGAGGTGAGAAGGTGTTGACAGGAGCCAAGAAGGAGAGCCTCTGTCTTTTCAACATTCAACTAGAAAAAGTTGTGTCTCATCCAGGTCAGAACAGCTGTGGACCTGGAATTGAGGGTGGAGGCAGAGATCAAGTTGGGTGTCATTCACAGACATGGAGTCCTGTAGCTCAGTGGTTACAGCACTCGCTTTGCAAGTGAGAGACCTGAGTTCAATTCCAGACAGGGCGAAACCTTGGGCAAGTTTCCTTACTCCACACGCCTAATAATAATCCCTCCAAAACCAAAAACAATAATAAAATTGGTCATTTTCAATCTACGACTGTTTGTGGGACATTGCTGTGCGCAATTGGCTGCCACGTTCGCCCACAAATATTCACTTTACAGCGTGTTCTGTGAAGCGCTTTGGGACGTCCTCCCGACGTGAAAAGCGCTATATCAAATGCAAGGATTATTATTATTATTGTATGTTGAAGTTAACCCCATGCCTGCAGATGACATCACTGAGTGGGAGTATGCAGATGTCCATGTCTTGCCCTTGATATATAATGTGCGTGAGGCCAGGGCACTCTGTTCAAGCTCACTGAGAATTTCTGTTTTCTCTGAAAATGAAAGACAGTGGGACTCACCATATACACACGATATGACTCGCCAATACATGCACATAGCCCTTGTGTACTTCACATGACCTTAAATGCAAATCTCAAAAGACTGTTCAGTGCTGGTACAGTCAGTCACATGGCACAACTCAATGTCGATGTTTTTGTATTTAATACTCAGGGGATTTATCTGATGCATTAAAAATAGGTTACCCTATATCTGCCTCAGCTGCTATTTGCTTAGCTCAGAAAAAAGCAGCTGCGGGTTGGCAATGTCAATAAAGTGCAAAATGTATACCACTTACCTAAAGTAATAAGCCTGAGCAGTAATATGATACCTCTCTTGTTCACCAATTTCCATATGGAGGTGGAGATCAATATTAAGGGTGAAACATAAGCCAGAGCAAATAATTCATAGCCTCTGAGTTTCAAAGTCTGCAGTGGAAAATACCAAATCATTGGCCCCAAACCATGGTACAGGGACGAAGAAATATAACCTGAAATGGAGATTGATATTATTTCATGCAATGTCAGAACAACAACAATTTGCAATAATGTAGTGCCTTTCACATAGAGAAGTCATCTAAAAAAGCTCATCACAGAGCTGACTGGGAATTTGAGTGGAACCAAGAAAAACAGAACCATAGAGGTGGAGCAAAAATCATAGATGGTGAAAAAAGATAGGAATGGTGTTGAAGGCAGCAGAGTGGTCAAGGAGAACAAGAAGGCAGATAGGAGAAAATTGCCAGGGCAATGTTAATGCTGTGAGCAGGGCAGAAACCTGATCGGAGGGACACAGGGAGGGAGAGCTGTGTGAGGAAGGAGCTAAGCCAAAAGATGATGATTTGTTCCAGCACCTTGGAAAGAAAGGGTCATTTGGAGAGTATGGAAGGGTGAAGTGAGAGCTTCTGGGGAGGGGATGGTTGATAGTAGTTTTGAACAAGTTGGCGGGGGGAAGCTTGATCATGTCAATCAGCTGGGAGTGAGGAGGGCAAGCTGGGTGACAAAGAATGGCGTAGAGATGGGTCAACTGAGCAGGTGATGAGTTTCATAACGTTGGTAACTTGATGGGTGACTATCACAACAAAAACAAATTGTATATATATACAAATATTTATATTCAAACAGTTTCAATCTTCAAACCCCAAAAATACAAAATGTCAATCTAAGGTATCAAAAAATGACTTACCTGTGCATCTGCTTCTCAAATAATGTGCCATGTGCTAAACAAAAAAGATAAAAATCCTTTAAAATAAGGAATTTAAAAATAATGAACTCACCCAAGAAAATTTCCATCAACAGGTCCCTGACCATATTCCACGACGCTCCAGGCAAGCCTGCAAGTTAAATGATGTTTGGGAGAAGTGCCAGTAGTCAGTGTAGAATCAGAATGAATGCAGAAGAGGTTGTACTTAAACTGGAGAAGGCTGTACCAGTCCTGGAGGGGGCTGAACCACTAAAAAAAAGTAAGATGCAGTATTACTGCAGGAGGATGTAGTAGAACTGGCGGTGTCTATACGAGTATTGCAACAGGAAAGATAACTATTGCTGGAAGCTGGATTAGGCTATGGTAATATTAGAGGAAGCGATGGTAGTACTGCAGGTGGCCGTAGTAATAGTGGAGAAGGCTGTGTTAGTACTGCAGGAGGCTGTAAGTTGCTCCTGTTGCAGACATTGACCTCCTATAGCAGTGGGAGAGGCTGAGAGGCTGGAACTGCAAGTGGAGTTGCCTCGCGCCTGCAGGCCACACTGGGGCATTAATAGACATTCACTCTCACACTGATCACAGCTCTTTGTCAGGTTACACACTCACTTTGCTCACCTTTATTTGTTTTGCAGTACATTCTGTTGCATCACAATGCATCGCATGCCGGGGTGATCACTGATGAAGAGGTCTGACCCACACCTTTTACTACAAAAGCTAAGTATTAAAAAAAATGAAATGTTAAAAACTAAGAGTCAAATGTTAACATACTAACTATATTTCAAGTCCAAAACTTATATAAAGAGTATACAAACATATGCACAAAGTATTTACTGAATGTATTCACAACAGATTCACAATTAGGAAAATAGCCTATGTGCATGTTTTCTAATAAATTTATCTGCAAATTGATCAACATCTACATTTATACATATTTCGTATATACAGTAATGAATTTCCTGCTGTCTGTAATGAGGTTGATACACTACGCCAGCATCATTGCAAGCAACAGCAAATCATTTTTTAAAAAAAAATCTCTGCATCCTTTGGAGCCTGTTTATCCCTGTCAGCCAGTATCACAAAAACACTGACTGACATGGACAGACACGGCTCCAATATGTAAAGAGAAGCCCAAAGGGTTTTTATATTCTTTTTGAATTTCTCACTGTCTGTAAAGACTCGCCAGACTCACCATACTGGTATCATTACAGACAGTGGGAAGTTCAAAAAAACCTAAAAAAAAACCTCTGTGGCTCTCTGTATCCATCAGAGCCTCCATGTGTCAGTGTCACTTGAGAGGCAATTTTTTAAAAAAATTCCATTGTATATAACAGACAGCAGCAAAATAATAATAATCCTTGCATTTAATATAGCGTCTTATCATGTCATTGAGACGTCTTAAAGTGATTCACAGAATATACTGTAAAGTGAATTGTCTTTGTATTTTTGGGGGGCGAAACGTCCCCCCAAAATTCTGTTATTCAAATATAATTCAGGATAGTACTAAACGTAGGGACTTTATTTCTGCACTTCCATTTAAACATCATGAAAAACCGCTAGTCTTGGGTGGGGGAGGCTTTTCGCCCATCCCCAGATCTGCCCTGCACACTGCACAATAGAAAGACCAAATCATTGGAGCCAACTCAGTGCAGTGAGTTTGCAGAGTCCATTCACCTGTGACTGAATTTAAAGGTGATTTTTTGTATTGTGCATTTCAACCCAATGATCACGTTTAGTTGCCTTGTATGTTACAAGCCAACCCAACGTAATCATCGGGTTTAAATGCAGTGACAGTGATAATCTTTGCCTTTTTATAGCACATATTACATCAAACCCTTGAAGGGGTTTCAGTGTTCTGTGGTGACTATATTTGTAGGCAAATGCAGCTGCCAAGTAATAGCAATGGGCTACCCAAGCACTCATGAGGTTAATGACCAATTTACCTGGAGGGATTGTGGGCCAGGACACCAGGAGAAACTCCCTTCTCTTTTCAAACCGCGCCATGGGATTTTTAACATCTGCCCAGACAGTCGTGTTCAATTGCGAAAACAAACAATTGTGCGCAATTGGCTGCCGCATTTCACCCACAAAATAGTTAACCCGCTTTATAATACAATTCCGTCAAGCGCTTTGAGACGTCTCAACGAAGTGATAAGGGCTATATCAAATTCAAGGATTATTATAGACGGGACCTCAGTTTAAAGGCTCATCCAAACAATGGTACCTCTAACAATTCAGGATTCCACCAGAACTGCATTGGAGCATTAAGATTATGAACTTGATAGGACCATTATTGGATGCAAATTTGCTAAGAGGCTTGGCCAGTGATTTACAATGATTCTGAAATAGCTATGCACTCGCTGGCAACATCAGGGAATGCTGGCTCTAACCTCTCACTATTACCTGCCCTAGTTTCGTCTCCATAAATAATTGATTAAATATGAATCCCATGAATGTCTCTCACACTAAACTTATTGATTTGATGAATAAATTAATGCTCCAACTTCCCAGGTCCTTTGTGTTTAATCTAATGAGACAATACCTGACTTTGGACTTTGTTCGTGTAAAACAGGGCGAAACCTTGGGCAAGTTTCCTTACTCCACACGTCTCATAATAATCCCTCAAGAAAAAAAAAAGCAATAAAATTGGTCACTTCAATCCATGACTGTTTGTGGGACACTGCTGTGTGCAATTGGCTGTCGCGTTTCACCCACAAATATACAGTCAACTAACTTTACAGTATACTCTGTGGAGTGCTTTTGAGACGTCTAGAAGACGTGAAAAAGCTCTATATCAAATGCAAGGATCATTATTATAAGCACAATAATAAATTTGCAAAACCAAGACGTAGAACCTAATTTGCTTAAGAAATATGGTATGAAACATTTCATAATTATAATGCATTCAAAGCCTTCACAGCCCTTCACGACTTTGCCTCTTCCTAACTCTGTGACCTGCTAACACCATATCAACCTGTCCGTTCCTTCTGCTCAGCAGCCTGCTCCATGTTCCTCGCCCAGCCCATCCCACTATCGGCGGTCGGGTCTTCAGCCTCTCTGGCCCCACTCTTTGTAACTCCATCCCACAGTCACTTCACCTTGCTCCCTCGTCTCCTTCGAGGCACATCTCAAGACTCTCCTATTCAGCCACTCTCCTACCCCTACCATCCCTCCACCGCTCCTGATCCCAACTGCTCGTGTCCAAACTCCTGACTGTCTAGCGCCTTGGGACGTCCTCCCGACGTGACAGACGCTGTACAAATGTAATTTGTTGTTATAATCCTTGCAATTGGTATGGTGCCTTTCACATTAGAACATCAAAAAGCACTTCACAGGACTTACTGTAAAGTATAGTGACTGAGTTTTTTGTAGGCAAATACAGCAGACCAGAAAACCAGGAAAAATTCTCTTTTCCTTTCGAGTGGTGCCATGCAATATTAAATATCAACAACAACTTGCATTTATAGAGTGCCCCTCATGCAGAGTAATGTTCCAGAGCGCTTGACAGTGGTGGTGCGCAATGCCGAGCCAGGGGGAGGTGACCGTAGACATGGTCGAAGAGGAAGGTCTTTAGGCATGACATGAAGATGAGGAAGGAAGGGGCAAGGCAGAGGGATAGAGGAAGAGTGTTCCAGAGGTAGTGGCACTAGGGACACGTAGAAGGTCGGAGCCAATCGAGTGGAGGCAGCGAGTAGTGGGTTGTGGGTTAAGCAGATCGGAAATGTAGGGAGGTGCCAGGGCATGAAGGGATTTAAAAATGAGCATGAGGATCTTGAAATCAATCTGTTTGACAATAGGGAGTCAGTGGAGCCTGACTAGAACTGTGTGATGGGGGTACGAAGTTTAGTACAGGTGAGTACACGGGCTGCAGAGTTTTGGATCAGCTGGTTCGCCCACAAAATACACGGTCAATTCACTTTACAGCACATTCTGTGAAGCGCTTTGAGACATCTAGAGGACGTGAACAGCACTATATCAAATGCAAGGATTATTTTTATTATATTATTATCTTATGCATGGTGGAGCTAGGCCCTGATGTCTGCCAGAAAAGCCGAGAGAACATTGGCAGACCTCAAGTTGCAGCTGGAGAAGTAATAATAATAATAATCCTTGCATTTGATATAGCGCTTTTCACGTCGGGAGGACGTCCCAAAGCGCTTCACATAATATACTGTAAAGTGAAGTGACTGTATATTTGTGGGCGAACGCGGCAGCCAATTGCGCACAGCAATGTCCCACAAACAGTCGTGGATTGAAAATGACCAATTTATTATTGTTTTGGTTTTGGAGGGATTATTATTAGGCTCTGTGTGGAGTAAGGAAACTTGCCCAAGGTTTCACTCTGCCTGGAATTGAACCCAAGTCTACTCACTTGCAAAGCAAGTGCTCTAACCACAACAACAACAACAAGATTCCATTTATAGAGCGCCTTTCACGTCGGGAGGACGTCCCAAGGCGCCACTGAGCTACAGGACTCCAGTAGATTTGTGTGTCATCCGCATACATGTGGAAGTTTACCCGTGTTATCATCTGAACAGGCAGAACTTTGATTTAACTTCTCACCTGAAGGACGGCAGCTGCAGCTACGCATTCACCCAACACTATTCGAGAGTCATCTTAGACTGTGAGATGAAAGTCCGGAGGGGGATTAAACCCACAATCTTATGACCATGGCTGGCTCAGGCTAGATGAAGCTGAGCCCCCCAAATCTACCTAAAGCTCAAACCTTTAAGACCACTTCACCTTCCTTCTGCGCTTGTTTCGTGCCAGTCTTAAGGATGTCCCCTCCACACCCCACCCACGTAGACTCCAATGGACCTCTTGGTGCTGGCATCCAGGCTGCAATTGTCTTAAAGAGGCCTGGACACTCAGCCTCCCCAAATAATTTCACCTGCCGCCTATGCTTCCCACTCGGAGACGAGAGTGCTACCAACTGAGCCAGGCTAAATTTATAAGTTACATTCCTAATAAAGTACATATTTATGTAAATATTTAATTATACTTCAATATGTATGAATATATTAGCACTTGTAGTCTAATTATAGCCTTCATACACTATAATGGTCCTCTTTTGTCCTATAAGTACTTTTCCAGTTTTAAACAATTTAATTTACTAACACCACGCGCTGGACGAAATTTTCATCACATCCAAGGAATATTTGTGATATCGATGGGTTGCCAAACCCATTTAAACATAAATCTATTAATTATTTTTCACAACGTTATCATACAAACTAACTCCTTGGCAATTCTAATGAGCAGGGCTTGACAGCTTTGCAATGAATGAAACCTATTAGGTCTGTCAGAGGCAGCAGTGTCAAGTGCTTTGGGACATCCTCTCCACGTGAAATAAATGCAAACTTGTATTGTAAAATACAAGTGTCGATCAGTCTCTCCTTTTTAATGTCAATTTGGGTGATCACTCTCACCACTGCGTCAGAAGATTATGGATTTAGACTTCATAATAATAATCCTTGCAGTTGATGTAGCGCTTTTCACGTCGGGAGGACTTCTCAAAGCGCTTCACAGAAGACACTGTAAAGTGAATTGACTGTATATTTGTGGGCGAATGCGGCAGCCAATTGTGCACAGCAATGTCCCACAAACAGTCGTAGATTGAAAATGACCGATTTGTTATTGTTTTTGGTTTTGGAGGGATTATTATTAGGAGTGTGGAGTAAGGAAACTTGCCCAAGGTTTCGCCCTCTGCCTGGAATTGAACTCAGGTCTCTCGCTTGCAAAGCGAGTGCTCTAACCACTGAGCTACAGGACTCGTCATTGAGACGTCTCAAAGCGCTTCACAGAATACATTGTAAAGTGTAGTAACTGTGTATTTTGTGGAAGGTGTTAAATGTGAGGACATGGATCTTAAAACTCAATCCTCTGGGGGATGGGGAGCCAGTGAAGGCTGGTGAGGAGAGGGCTCGGATAAAGCTTGATGGGGGCCCAGGGCTATTATAGATTGGAGGGTTCAATTCCTTCCCTGTACTGTTTTACCACCACCCATTCCCACGATGCCAAACACTGTATTGTTAACTTACCTTAACACACACACACAGTCACAGATACAGTGACAGACACACACACAGTCACAGATACAGCGACAGACACACACACAGTCACAGATACAGTGACAGACACACACACAGTCACAGATACAGTGACAGACACACACACAGTCACAGATACTGTGACAGACACACACACAGTCACAGTCACAGCAACAGACACACACACAGTCACAGCAACAGACACACACACAGTCACAGATACAGTGACAGACACACACACAGTCACAGATACAGTGACACACAGTCACACACACAGTGACAGACACACACACAGTCACAGCAACAGACACACACACAGTCACAGCGACAGACACACACACAGTCACAGCAACAGACACACACACAGTCACAGATACAGTGACAGACAGTGACACACAGTCACACACACAGTGACAGACACACACACAGTCACAGATACAGTGACAGACACACACACAGTCACAGATACAGCGACAGACACACACACAGTCACACACACAGTGACAGACACACACACAGTGACAGACAGTGACACACACACACAGTCACACACACAGTGACAGACAGAGTGACGGTGGTGACAGTGCCAGTGACAGACAGTGAGGCCGGTGCCGGGGCCGGGGTCGGAGTCGGGGCTGAGGTCGGGGCCCTCTCACCGCGCGGCGAAGCGTCTTTCCCGCCGCGCCGGCTGCCATTTCCCAACATGCCCCGCGGTGTGGTTGTCTGTTGGCAGCCTGCGGGCTGCAGCTTGTGCGCACGCGCGGGAGGCCACAGCGCGGCAAGTGCGGGGCGTCGCGGGACTCGGGGCTCAGGGTCAGTGCCGGGACCCAGTGTCGGGACCCAGGGCCGGGGCTCAGTGCCGGGGCTCAGTGTCGGGGGGCGGGGCTCAGGGTCAGTGCCGGGACCCAGTGCCGGGGCCCAGTGTCGGGGGGCGGGGCTCAGGGTCAGTGCCGGGCGGGGCTCAGTGCCGGGGCTCAGTGGCGGGGCTCAGTGCCGGGGCTCAGTGGCGGGGCTCAGTGCCGGGACTCAGTGGCGGGGCTCAGTGCCGGGGCTCAGTGCCGGGGGCGGGGCTCAGTGCCGGGGCTCAGTGCCGGGACCCAGTGCCGGGGCTCAGTGCCGGGGCTCAGGGCTCAGGGCCGGGGCTCAGTGCCGGGGCTCAGTGCCGGGGCTCAGTGGCGGGGCTCAGTGCCGGGGCTCAGGCCGAGGGCCGGGGCTCAGGGCCGGGGCTCAGTGGCGGGGCTCAGTGCCGGGACCCAGTGGCGGGGCTCGGGGCCGGGGCTCAGTGCCGGGGCTCAGGGCCGGGCGGGGCGGTCCAGCTCCAGTCCCGGTGTTGGGGGGAGATGGCAGTCTGTGTGTTGTGGTGCCGGGGGTTAGTGCAGCTTAAGCCTCGATGCGATGAAAGTATCAATGAGGGTCTCGGCGGCCTGAGGGGGGGGGGGAGGTGGTGGGGCAGAGAGGCGGTCAGGGAGACCGGGGGGTGCGGGGGCGGAGGCTTCAGATGTCAGGGCGAGGACCTGGAACTCAATCCATTTGGCGACAGGGAGTCAGTGGAGCCCCAGTAGTAAGGATATTGATGCTTTAAAATGCTCTGCAATAGGAGTTAAGGTCTACAACAACAACAACAACAAATTACATTTGTACGGGGCCTTTAACGTCAGGAGGACGTCCCAGGACGCTGGAAGGTCAGGGATCCGCACCCGAGCTGGTGGTTGGGATCAGGAGAGGTGAGACAGTGGCGGAACCAGGCAATGTTGCAGAGGTGGGGAAAGGCGGAGCAGTTAAGACCATAGGGTGTTAAAAGACTGCAATAGGGGTTAACAGATAAGTTTCTATGATCACATGAGGTACTTACATCAATGTTTATATCTTAAGTACCATCATGTAGTTGTTTCAGTTCCCGCAGTGGCTGGTAGGAGCTTTTGGCTTTACTTGCAATCTCATATTACATACATGTAATGGGACAAATGGTGCATTCCATATGCATGGGACGGCAATTATTTATTTACATGGTGTTACCAGTTACACACATTTTATAAAGCATTTTAGAATGTATTTTGGTATTTTGTAATAATAAGCCTTGCATTTGATACAGCACCTTAGCATGTCGTTGACACATCACGAAGCGCTTCACGGAATATATTGTTAAAGTGAATTTTGTGGGGTATTTTGTGGGGCGATTGCGGCAGCCAATTGCGCACAGCAGTGTCCCACAAACAGTTGTGGATTGCGTGACCACATTTTTTTTGGAGGGACTATAACTTCCAGAAAGCAATCCACCAATCAACTAACAAGCAGGTTCCTCCTTACTGCCGGGTAAACAGGCGTGTGAAATTTTGCCCCCCCAGGACCTGAACCCGGGTCCTCTTGCTGGCAAGGCGAGTACTCTAACCACTAAGTTATGGGACTCTACAAACAAAGGTTTTAGAACAACCTTAAAGATGTATAATCATACGTTTTGGGAATTTTCAATAAATCTAAACACCTTTGTCTTAAAATTCAAACCATTTATTTACTATGGGTGTGGAGAAAAACAGGAATAACAACTTCAAGTAAGATTCGATAAACTACCCTGATAAATGAGTTTAGTTAAAGTAAACAGTTTTCAGTCATTGAACAATGAATAAAAGTAAATTTAGGTGCAGTCATTCTCATGGTTCAAATGTAGTTTGATCTTGATACAAAAATAATATATTCTGCTCTGAATATGGAAACGAACATTTTTACATCATGTACTTGAGGCTTGAAATTTCTCATGATCTTAGACTCAAGACCATCATAAAGTTGATGATCAAGCAGGAATTTGCTAAATCAATCCAAAACTGTTTGTGAGACACTGCTGTGGATATTGGCTGCTGTGTTTCGTCCATAAAATAGAGTTAATCGACTTACAGTATATTCTGTGAAGCACTTTGAGACATATCAATCCAAGGACTATTATTATTTGAAAGATTACTTTCTACAGTTTTCACAATCTACATTACTTTCATGGGCGTATTTTATTCCAAAAATGGGAATTTCCAAATGTAGGTAAGAATACAAATATTCTTACACAGAATAAGAGTCACAGCAACAACAAAATTACATTTGTAAAGCACCTTTCACGTCGGGAGGACGTCCCAAGGCACTGAACAGTCAGGGATCAGGACCCGAGCATGGGGGGCATGGTTGGGATGAGGGACTGCTGAGGGGGTTCTACCCCTCAGCCCTCCCTCATCTCAACCATGCCCTCCATGCTTGGGTCCTGAAGGGCGGCTGAAGGCATGGTCAAAAAGGAGGGTCTTGAGTCGTGCCTTGAAGGAGACGAGAGAGAGCAAGGCAAAGGGATAGTGGATGGAGTTCCAAAGAGTGGGAGCAGAGCGGCTGAAAGCCCGTGCCTGAGGTGCTGAGGTGCACCTCGTTCTCCTCGATCTCTGCTGCCTTTGACACCGTGGACCACTCCATCCTCCTCCACCGCCTCTCACCTCAACCTTCAAGGTTCTGTCCTTGAATGGTTCAGGCCATGACCGGCTCTGCCTTCCCCCACCTCTACAACATTGCCCGACTCCGCCGCTTGCCTCACCCCTCAGGCCACCAAAATCCTCATACACCATTCATACCTCAAGGTTTGACTACAGAAACTCCCTCCTCGTCAACCTCCCCAACTTTTCCCTCCACAAGTTGCAGATCATCCAGAACTCTGCAGCTTGTTTCCTCCCGCATCAGGCTCCGGGACCCCATCAGCCCCGGCTCCACTGGCTCCCCATCCCTCAGAGCTTAGAATTCAAAATCCTCATTCTCACTTTCCAAGGTTCCCCCATGGCCTTACCCCCTCCTACCTCTCTGACCTGTTCAACCCCTATCAACATGTTCACTCCCTCCATTCAACAGGCTCTGGCCTGCTCCAGGTCTCCTGCCTGACCCGCCCTACCATCGTGGCTGGGCTTTCAGCTTCTCTGTCACACTCTTTGAAACTCCATCCCACTATCCCTTTGGCTTGCTCCCTCTGTTGTCTCCTTCAAGGCGTGACTCAAGACCCTACTTTTTGACCATGCCTTCAGCTGCCCTCCTACCCCCTCAGCCCTCCCTCATCCCAACCCTGCCCCCCACGCTCAGGTCTTGATCCCTGACAGTTCAGTGCCTTGACGTGAAAGGTGCTTTGCAAATGTAATTTTGTTGTTGCTGTGACTTTTATTCTGAGTAAATATTTGTGTATCAGTGCTAGAGGATTTCAACTGTACTCCAACCTGCCACTTTAATTGCTTTGTAACCACCTGAACAGTTGTTGCTATCACCACTGCAATAAATTCAGTGAAGCTTTGTCAATGCTATAGTTTTGCAAGGAGTAAAATAAACAATCTTGTTCCACAGTCAAGGTTGGGCCCTCCCACTTTAGATTGGCCAAAGTGTCAGTGCCTGAGCACAAGAAGAAATCATGCCATATGTATCTGGAAAGCCTATTCAGGTGATGCTGAATTAACCAGTCAGGCCAGCATCCAGTTAATGAGCCCAGAGAGGTGACTTTCCATGTTTAATAACATCAACAGAGGTCTTTCTAAAATCTTCAAGCACAATTGGACTTGGAAAGGGTTTTAAAAAATGAAGCCACAAAAAACAGCAAGTTAAAAGTTGTCAAATTTTATTTTTCGGACAGAGGGGATAGCCCAGCTTTTAATATCTAAGTTTCTGTGTATCATATAATGTCTGAAATTAGTTTTGGATGAATTGTAGATTTGAATGGTGGAGCTAGAAAGACCAGCAAAGAATGTGTTAAGTCTAAGCATAAGTATTTATTTAAAAATTAAATTCACTGCATGGCTGTGTGGGACATTTCTGTGTGCAAATTAGCTGCTTAGTTTTCCCATAAATACAAGGCACTTCACAGTAAATCCTGTGAAGCGTTTTGGGACGTCCTTCCGACGTGAAAGGAAAGGCTATTCCAAATGCAAAAAATATTATTATTATTAAGAGTAGCCCAAACCAGCCTGAATTGTTGGGGACAAAAACATCCACTTAAATGACCAGAAGGGAGATTGCTGGAATAGAACAAGTAATCCTAAAGAAACTAAAATGTAGCAAGCCCCCATCTCCCGCAAGCGTGGAGTCCTGTAGCTCACTGGTTAGAGCTCTCGCTTTGCAAGTGAGAGACCTGAGCTCAATTCTAGGCAGGGCGAAACCTTGGGCAAGTTCAAAGTGCATATGCGTAGGTTCCTCTCACACAGGGTTGGAGATTTGCAATGCGTAGCTAGATGGAGCCATTCACAAACCAGTGAAATATGTAAACAGGAAGATGTTAATAAAACAAGACCTTTCAGATAAAGGCAATGAGTTGATAATTACTGTCAGAGTGAACACTGCTGAGCATAGAAGGAAAATGTCATCTGAAAAAGATCCAGACCAAAACCAAAAGTTGGCAGCAGTTTGGAAACCCGTGAGTCGTTCAATCTTGTTTCCTTGTGGCTGTATTTCCAGGGAGCTTTGGAAAGATTTGTTCTGCGCCTGATGCGGAGTGTATGAATGTAATCTGAGAGACACAAGTTAAGACTTTGTTCCACTAAAAATCGTGGCAATTCTGCTTTAATCTTATCGGCCTGGAAAGGGAAAGAGTTACACACAGCTAAAGTTCAGTTCTGCTCAATATTTAAATTGAATCCTGCAAGTGAGAGACCTGGGTTTGATTCCTGGCAGGGCAAAACCCTGGCCAAGTTTCCTTACTCCCCACACTGATTTCAACAATTTCAGACCAGTTCACCTTCCCAATCCCCCTCTTCTTTGACCATTACCACATCATTTGGGACCCAGACACACCTTTTCTCTCTCTGTTCTGCCTATTTTGTTGCAATTCCCATCCCTTTGTTTTGCATCATTAACACCTCTTTAACCCATCATCCCCTGTCCTCTACCCCCATTTTCTCCTTTGACTTCCTTGCCCTGCCTCCCCCCTCTCTGTTAGCCCTTAAAAGCCTCTCCCTCCCAACATGCCCCAGTTCTGAAGAAGGGTCGTTGACTCACTTTCCTGTCTCCATAGATGCTGCCTGACCCGCTGAGTGTTCCCAGTGACTTTTGCTTTTGTTGACACGGATGATTATTATTATTAATAATTCTTGCATTTGATATAGCGCTTTTCACGTCGGGAGGACGTCCCAAAGCGCTTCACAGAACACACTGTAAAGTGAATTGACTGTATATTTGTGGGCGAACGCGGCAGCCAATTGTGCACAGCAATGTCCCACAAACAGTCGTAGATTGAAAATGACCAATTTATTATTGTTTTTGGTTTTGGAGGGATTATTATTAGGTGTGTGGAGTAAGGAAACTTGCCAAAGGTTTCGCCCTCTGCCTGGAATTTGAACTCAGGTCTCTCACTTGCAAAGCGAGTGCTCTAACCACTGAGCTACAGGACTCCATATTATTATTATTCTCATGAGTCTACACTGCATTTCTTCAAAGCCAATAGCTGTATATATTTCTGGTAATGAAGTGCTGTGGTTTTAAGGACCCATTGACCTCATGTTCTTTTTTCCATTAGATACTTTATTGTCTCCCAATAGGTATTTGTGTAATAATACTGTGACTAACAATGTTTGTAGTTACTGACAAAACCACTAGCAGCTCATTTCCTCTCACACAGGGTTGGTGTGGTGGCCACCATGCTCACAGTGACGAAATAAAGAAGATCATAATAGAATGCAAGAGAGAGAGCTTTTGGTACAGGGGTGAGTATTGCTTAGCCTCTGGACTTATTGTGGTTACATTCATATACAGCACCTCACCTTATTCACTGTAAATCTAAGCTACAGTGTTCTGGTGAATAGCCAATTTACTGGTATGTCGTTAGCCTGTAATTGCTGTGTGATAACAGAGAGAAATGTAACAAGACTTGGACTTTGAATATCCCATGACATTTTTCGAAAAGAGAAGGAAGTTCTTCCAGTGTCCTTACCAACAACTAACCCCCCCCCCCCAATCACCGTCTCCAAGAGTTTTGATGTCAATATTAGATTGTGGAATAAGCAGTTTAATGATATTCAATAGTTAAGTTACAATCTCATTCTTATCTGACACAATCAGATCAGACTCAAAAGTGGGAGTACACTCAGACAGGGTTGTGTGATTTGATGATCTGTTCCTGACAGGTGTCTCTTGATCATCAAATCACACCTTGGAATTGTCCAATTGTCAGTAGATGTAGCAATATTGGTAATGACTACAAATTATGCCACTATTTTGCTACAGACACTTCCTACTTTCAAATAGAGATAAGGAGAACAGTGAAAACCACGTTTTTAAGCGCTCCCGAGACACGACCCTGCGTGAACAGTATTATAAATGCAAGTTGTTTTAAGGGAACATGATGGGCCTATTTTGCCCTTGTATTGAGGTGTCCACCTGAGTTAGTTGTCAATTCGGCCAAAATGTTAAAACATTTAAAGATTTGCAGTATTCAGGGACTTCTAATATAATAATGTCTCCCCTCCTCCTCACACACAACACTTTTGACAATACCATTCCACTGTCTCCTCCCTCCCCATCACATCAAATGCTGAATCAATCAAAATGTTTAAAAGGGGAGATCCATAGATATTTGGGAAGTAAAGGTATTAAGGGATGAGGTACAAAGGCAGAGAAATGGGACTGAAAGATGAAAAACTGCTATCGTCTAATAACCTGATATGTTCCTAAATAACTGCGCAATTGGCTGTCGTGTTAAACTTTTGCCACAAAATACAGAGTGAATCCACTTTACAATATATTCTGTGAAGTGCTTTGAGACGTCTCAACGATATGATAAGGCGTTGTATCAAATGCAAGGATTATTATTATCAAACTGGGAAACAAAGAAAGCAATTAAAAAATATGAACCTAGTAGTTAAAATGTTTTACTTTAATACAACAACAACAACAAGACGTCTTTCACGTCGGGAGGACGTCCCAAGGCGCTGCACAGTTGGGTCAGGACCCGAGCATTGGGGAAATGGTCAGGGTGAGGGGAGGGAAGGGAGGGAGCGAGGAGGGGGTAGAGAGGCGAGAGGGGAGCTGAAGGCTCGGTCAAAGAGAAAGGTCTTGAGACCGGCCTTGAAGGAGGAGAGGGAGGAGGCGGCGAAGGCACTGGTGGGATGGAGTTCCAGAGCCTCGGGGCTGAGAGGCTGAAGGCCCGGCCACCGATGGTAGGGCGGTTGGGGCGGGGGATGTGGAGCAGACCGGAGCCGGAGAAACGGAGGGTACGGGCGGGTAGGTAGGGGGATAGTAGGTTGGAGAGGTAGGAGGGAGCAAGGTCGTGAATGGCCTTGTAGGTGAGGATGAGGATCTTGAAATCAATCCTCTGGGGGATGGGGAGCCAGTGGAGGCGAGCGAGGGTGGGAGTGATGTGGTCGCGGTGTCTGGTGCGGGACAGTACACGAGCTGCAGAGTTCTGAATGACCTGCAGCTTGTGGAGGGGGGTGCCGGGAAGGCCGGCGAGGAGAGAGTTCCCATAGTCCAGCCTTGAGGGGATAAAGGCGTGGACCAGGGTTTCAGCAGCGTGAGGACCATTTCCCCACCCATATTACCACTATAATATGGGTGGGGAGAAGAAGATTCAATTCAATGAAATTTCCTGTGAAGACTTAATAAAAAGAAACTTACTTTTGATATTTTTGCAGCTGTGCCATTGTCTCTTGGAAGCATGCTACTCACTCAAGGACTCCTATACAAAGGTAACATAATGATTCGGTAGCAATTAATATAATATAACGATTCTAGAAATAACGATCCATTGGAGGAAGCACATAACTGTTACAGTTTTCAAAGTGTGTGTAATGACAAGAACGAAGGTTTAAAATCCGTAGATGATACCAAACTAGGGCATGTGGTGAATAATAAATGAAATCTCGTAATAGTGAGGATTTACTGGTATGTAGCTAGCCTGTAAATGCTGTGTGATGACAGAGAGGAAGTGAGGCAGAGGCAGGAAGACATAAATAGCATCACAAGTGGACCACAACATAGAATGCAAATTGAATCCTTGACTCTATGTCCAAAGGAATAAAGTGCAAAAGTAGTGAAATAAAGTTATAATTATCTAAAAGCTTGGTTGGACCAAATTTGGAGGAATGTGCAAAGTTCTGGTCGCAATATTAAAAGAGGGTCTCTATCCCCCAGATAAAATTGAGCTTTCAATCTACCAGACTTTGTTGCTCTGCACGAATTGGCAACTGTTTTCACTTAAAAATATACAGTCAATACACTTTAATGTAAATCTAGTGAAGTGCTTTGAGACATTTCAATAATGTGATAATACAATTATTATTATCTTGTGAACTTCTAGGGCAAAACTCTGGTATTTAAATGGATTGTAATGCATTGATTATTTTATTCATTTTAATCATTAGGAAAACAAGCCTCAAAACTCGAGCCATAATCTCACTGTCTCCACCCTGTCCCCAAAAAAGAGGTCAATCCTAAAATCCAATATGATATTGCAAATTCCTGCTCATGGCTGAAAAGCAAATTGGTAGGAATGTAAATGCTGCCCTCATGTGGCAATAATTATCTAATCTTAGTTATCTAATTTAAGTGGAACATTTTTCTTGTATCGTGGATTGGACAGGGAATAGAGTATTGTACAGAGCCAGTTTGGAACAACACATAAGTATTCCGTGAAGCTCTTTGAGACAGCTAGAAGACATGATAAGGCGTTATACCAAATGCAAGGATTATTATTATTATTGTAAGTAAGTCTATGTTGTGGCACACGTGCAGACAAAGCACATCTCAAGTGTACTTTAAATGTGTGTCATTTCCCCAAGGAAGCAGAATATTGGGGAAATGGGTGTTATAAAGTAGCCCTTTACATTTACATTTTCATTGGTTTCTACCTTATATTGTATAATTGAATGAATTCAGTAATATTTTGGAATGAATTCTACAACAATTTAATAATATTGAAACACCAGTATTCTCCTGATTATATATTGATTTAAGATTTGGTAAAAATTAGGAAAACCGACTTGTCTGCAAGTCTCAAGTATGACTTCAAAGAGCAGAGCACACGCTTAACAAATTTAAGGCTAATTTAGTCCATCGGCCTTCCCAACTCTTCCCTCCACAAGCTGCAGACCATCCAGAATTCTGCAGCTTGTGTCCTCTCCCGCACCAGGCTGTGAGAGCCTGTCACCCCCACCCTCGCTAACCTGTACTGGCTCCCCATTCCCCAGAAGATTGAGTTCAGGATCCACGTCCTTTTAAATCCCTCCATGGTTTGGCCCCACACCCCCTCTGCCATCTTTTAAAATGTTAACAACCCGCTCGCTCCCTATGTTCGGCACTAGCCTATTTTACATCCCCGCCGTGCCTACCCCACCATCGGCATTCAGATTTTGAGCCTTTCTGCCCCCACTCCCTGGAACTCCCTCCACCTCACCCTCTTCCCTTCTTCAAGGTCTGTCTCAAGACCTTCCTCTTTGACTGCCTTCAGTCATCCTTTCCTCCATCACCTCCTTGGGCCCAACTCCCAGCTTGTGTGGGCGTTCACCACTGTCCAGCGCCTTGGCACATCCTCCCAACATGAAAGGCTTTATATAAAGGCAATTTGTTGTTGTTGTTAAGATCTAAAGAGATCGCTGTAGACAATTAGCTTGCTATATTAAATTGGAATAATTTCTTGTATTTCCTTTATAGGAATTCTTTCCCCCTCAAAACGGTTTGGATCTATTCCGAAAGTTGCACGTAAGTCAATGATCTTTTTATGTTTAGATTAAAATGTATCATTTGCAATAATATTGTACAGTAAACAATACCAGGCACACCAGGCATGCTGCACATTTTCTATCACTTTAAAGCAGTTTCTTCCTTTTAGCAATGCAAGAATGCAAGAAAGTTTTTCATGGTCATAGCTTTAATTTCTTGAAAGACTTGTGGAAACAACAACTTGCATTATATAGCGCTCTTCACGCGGTTAACATCACAGACTGCTTAACTAACAGCGGTGTAGTTTGACCCCGAGCCAAAAAGCACGGGAGGTGACTAAAAGCACAGTCAAAGGTGATTTGAAGCTTGGCAGAGAGGGGGCAAGTGGGGGGGGATTGAGGTAGGGAGTTACAGAGATTTGCGCAAAGTGTCTTAAATATGTTTAAATCAACTCTGATATGTTAGAGTTCAGGATAGGCCGATGTAATGGAAAAGGGAGTTTCTTCCGATGTCTTAGCCAACAATAGGATCCAGATAAGATCAGCCAGTCACTTTATTGCTGTGAGTGGGACATTGCTGTGTTTAGATCGCCTGCAAATACACAATCACCATACTTAACAGTAATTAATAATAAATAATCCTTGCTTTTCGGCCTCCCCAACTCTTCCCTTCATAGACTGCAGATCACCTAGAACTCTGCAGCACTTGTCCTCTCCTGCACCAGGCTCCGCGACCCTATCACCCCCATCCTCACCCGACTCCACTGACTTCCCATCACACAGAGGATACAGTTCAAGATCTTGGTCCTCACCTTCAAAGCCCTCCATGGCCTTGCTCCCCGCTACCTCTGTGACCTCCTAACCCCTTACCAACCTGCCACCTCTCTCTTCTTCGACTGTACCTTTGATCACCCTCCTTCACCCCCTACCCTCCACCCTCCCCGACTTCAACCCCCAACTTGGGTCCAAAACACTGATTGTCCAGCACCTTGGGACGTCCTCCCGACGTGGAAGGCGCTATACTATACAAAAGTAATTTTGTTGTTGAAGCACTTTGAGATATTTTGATGTAATACTGCGCTATGTCAAATGCAAGAATTATTTTTTGTTTAAAAAGTAAGCCTGAAGTTAAGAATGTTCCAGAATTCTGCAAGGTTACATTTAAAACTTTGATCTTAAGGCTAAGACCAGAAGATCTCTGAGCTCTGGTGTTTGGCATTATGAAATGCGTATGACACCATCTCAAAGTTCCCTTCCGGTTGTGTTATAATTTATAACCAACCCAGGTTGCAAACCAACTCTCTGAACTTTAAAATTAACCTTAAAGAGACCTTTAAATCTCCAATGTTTCTAATGTCCCATCAGTCCTTTTCTGATATGAAACATTTCACTGGCAGCTGGAGGCTGGTGAGAGCTCAATGCATGTGTTGAAGCACATGAGTGGATAACCTAGTTTCTGTCTCCCCTCCCACCCCGCCCCAAACTGACCAGATTCCACTGCAAATAATAGTGTGGGGGAATATTTCAGTGCTGTCCATTCCAAATCCTGCAATATAACTAAAGCATTAAACAGGGAAAGCAGTCATTGTTGTAATTTGTGCCCGCACCAGGTTCCATGACCCCATCACCCCCCACCCTTGCCCGGCACCACGGGCTTCCCATCTCTCAGGAAAGAATTCAAAATCTTTGTCCTCGCCTTCAAAACCCTCCATGGCCTTGCTCCTCCCTGCCTCGCTCACTCCATACCGAACTGTCCGCTCCCTCTGCTCAGTGGGCTCTGACCATGTCCACCGACCTGCCTGACGAACATCGGCAATCAGGACTTCAGCCTTTCAGCCCACCCCCACCTCTTGGAACTCCATCCCACAGTCTTTTCACTTTGCCCCCCCACGTGCCTCTTTCAGGGGCAGTCTCAAAACCCTCCTCTTTGACCGCGCCTTTGGTCACCCTCCCATCTCTACCTTCCCTGCCTTCCAACCCTCCTAATCCCAACACCCTGCTTGAGTGCAAATCCTTAACTGTCCAGCGCCTTGTAGATGTCCTCCCAATGTGAAAGGCGCTTTACAAATTTACTTTATTGTTGTTGTGCTACTTCCACTTGTCTGATATGCAGATTACTACAACAACAACAAAATGACATTTATACAGCGCCTTTCACGTCGGGAGGACGTTCCAAAGCGCTGAACAGTCAGGTGTCGGGGTCCGAGCATGACGGAGGGGTGGTGTAGGGGTGAGGGAAGGCAGAGAGGTGGGAGGGAGACCAAAAGGCACGGTCGAAGAGAAGGGTCTTGAGACCGACCTTGAAGGAGGCAAGGGAGGAAGCGAGGCGAAGGAACCGTGGGATGGAGTTCCAGAGTGTGGGGGCAGAGAGGCTGAAAGCCCGGCTACCGATGGTAGGGCGGGTCGCGCGGGAGACATGGAGCAGCCCGGAGCCCGATGAAAGGAGGGAGGGAGTCAGCAGGTCAGAGAGGTAGGAGGGGGCAAGGCCATGGATGGCCTTAAGGATGAGGACGAGGATCTTGAACTCGATCCTCTGAGGGATGGGGAGCCAGTGGAGTCAGGCGAGGGTGGGAGTGATGGGATCACGGAACCTAGTGGGTGAGAGTACACGAGCTGCAGGGCTTTGGATGATCTGCAGCTTGTGAAGGGAAGAATTGGGAAGGCCGATGAGGAGGGAGTTCCCATAATTGAGCCTTGATGTGACAAATGCGTGGGTGAGGGTTTCGGCAGCCTGAGGGGTGAGGCAGTGGCGGAATCTGGCAATGTTGCGGACGTGGTGGTAGGCAGTGCCAGTCATGGTGTGGATGTGGGGGAGAAAGGACAGTTCAGGATCAAACAAGATACCCAGGTTCCTGACTGGCTTAGTGAGGTTGAGTGTGTGGCCGTGGATGCTGATGCTGCCAGTGCCTCAGGTGCGGAGACGCTGGCGTGAGCCACACATCGTGTAGGTAAAACTCTGTACATTCAACATTGTTTGGTTAAAAATGTGTTTGGTGCCACATGTCACAGTTCAACCAAATGTTGCCACTATGGTTCTCTAGTTGCTGGAATTCTTGGTTTTGCGATTGGAAAGATCTCATATGTGGGAGCTTGTCGTAAGAAATTTCAAGGTGCAGGGTTTCACCCCTTTGGAGATGGATTTCCTCAAGGATTTCGAAACTTCCCATTCCAGTGAGTATTTACCATAGTACACTCAAATATTATGTATTATACACAAAATACACTCCTATACCACACCAACAGCAAACAAACCCAAAGCCTATTGGACCTTCATATGAATTGTGTTCTGTTTAAAATGCCTATGGTATTGTTTGCAGCTGGTAATGAACAAACTCCATTCAGCACCAAACGCTGCATTTCCTCATCGATATAGTTGAATGTCAAATGTTTACCATATTCAGCATTATTACTTTAGATTCCAATTTTGAATCTCTATTTTACTTTTTATTTCTGTTTTATAGTATATTCTGTGAAGAGCTTTGAAACATCTCAAAGATGTGATAAGGCGCTATATCAAATGCAAGAATTATTATATTATTCCCTTTTTAAAAAAAAATGAAATTTCCACTTTTCTTATGTTTTTATTGGTAAGTAAGTAGTTTGGGACATTTGTGTATGTGACCGCCATGAAGGTGGAAGGCAAACTAGATGAGTTATAGCATTTATTATGTTTTTATGTAGAGCTTGTCATGTTGGGAGGACGTCGCAAAGTGCTTTTTACGTTCCCCCAATCAAAATAATAGTTCTGTGGGTAAAAGCTCAGGTGTCAGTCTGTCAATTGATAACAATCTCACCTCTGAGTCAGAAGGCTACTGTGAACTCACACGGTCTAGTCTGAGACAGCAATGATGATTTGTCGGAGTTGCTATCCTTCAGATGAGACATTAAACTGATGTCCCCTCTCCTTGTTTATGTGGACATCAAAGATCCTATGGCACTATTTGAAAAGACCTACAATCCCTCAGATAAAATTGGTCATTTACTTCATATGTTTGTTGGACCTTATGAGTGTAAGGATTGTTATTATTATTAAATTGGTTGGTGCATTTGCCTACAACATAAATTAAATTTTACATTAAACGCTGTGAAATGCTTTGAAGCACTCTTCCAACGTGAAAAATGCTATATCAAACCAAAGATTATTATTTAATATAGTCGAAATTCCTTAATCTATTTGTCAACCTTTTCAGTGAGTTTCCAGTGGATTAAACCAACTTTTGAATATCCTTGACCAGAGATGTCTTACTCTGGTCAAAGAGAGCAGCCAATATTGTTTGTAAATAAAAAGGATCTTGGAGTACGTCCATCTTTGGGTTCTGAAGGAAGGATAAAGTTCATAAGTTGAAAAGTCTTAAGAATGTTCTAAACGAGCACTGATTCACGTTTAGTATGTTTGTGTTTTAAAATACACCAGCTTTCACTTTCACAATGATCTTTGTAGGCAACCCCCTCATGTATGTAAGGAATGTAAGGGTAGACATGGACACGGAGACCCTGCAGGTGTTCATCATTACAATAAATCCCACCAGCCATCTCCAGCTGAACCCAGGTGAGTGCTCCTTGCTCTTTGTGGTCATCTCAGCCTATCTGTCACTAAGATTTCTTCATCATGAATGTTCATCATATGGATAATTTCATGTTCAAGTTTTGATGTCTGGAATGGTTATCTTTCCAAGTCCAATGCTTGGATATCAAATTAGATGAACAAACAGTTTTTCGTAGACTGTGTATTGATAGATATAGTCCTGTATTAGCTTCCTCTTCACGTGCATTGGAGCTTTTTGTTTGTTGTCAGCTCAACAAATCAGATGTTAAATATTTTATTGTTAATGTATTATGAGCAAAATAATGTAAGAAATGGATCGTGCCAAAGATTTGAGGGTCCACAAACTCCTAATCGTCATGAACATTCACAATTTAGTTTGCTTTAAAATATGGCAAATTGTCAGATTCAGGTTCAACTGAGAATATTTTTAAATGCAGTGTGTTGGGTGAAAAATTATGCAATGAGAGTAAAATCTAATAAGGACGGATACCTCATAAATTTGACACTGCTGGTATGAAATTGTTTGTGAAAGATTGTACTGTGCAAGTTGCAGATTTCCTCAAACCTCGTCATTGAGCAACAAGTTCCACCTGTGATGGTTAGCTCTGAATTTGATGGTTTGCACAGAAATGGACAGTTCGAGGTGGTGACATGCTCGTGGAATGGGTTTTGCAGGTGGAAAGAGTGATTTGTATAGCTTCATCGGTAGTATTGAATTCTGATTGATACAGAATGATCAGGCACAACTTCACCAGCTTCTCTGTTGGTACCATAAACAGAGATGAGGATCAAGTGCAAATGAGTTGATCAGTCATTTTGTTGACGACTGATTGACATGGCAAATAATGGACTTTGGATAAAATAATTCTTGTCTGTTCAATTGCTCTGGATGGTTTTAAAATGAGCCCAAGTAAGAAAGATATGCTTCAATTTAAACCTAACATTGCTACGATAGTCTACCATTAAGCAGATAAACTTTACAGAACATCAAATTTGTCAATGATGACAAATAGGCTGCATTTCCTTGAAAACTTACAAAATCCCCAATTGTTTGCTCAACTTGGTATAGATATTATCCCTAAGCCATTATGTTTGTATCTGAAGAGAGCTACGTCTCCTTATATAGCAGAGACGGTGTACAAATTAAAATTTCTGAGTTATTTACTTAAGTATTCTCAGTGTTGGTAACAAATATTCATCTAACCACTATCCAATACTTCTTAGATCAACACTAAATCAATCAGTACTAGGCCTCGAAGGAGAAAACGAATATTGATCTGGTTTCTGAACTTTTCAATGATGCTAAATGATTCATTTCTTTTCCATAGTTCTAAAGATGTCTGAAGATTGAATATTCTTTATGTCTGCAACTGGCTGGAGAAATTCCGAAGAGTAAAAATGGATACTTTCAGTTTTAATTGACAAGATATTATAAACAGATCTACTGAGACATTTGTAATGCAGAATATTTCTAAATAAATACTGAGGTGTAATATGTGATTTTATTTCACCAGCAACTGAAATTATCGTTTTTACATCTACAAATTGCATTGATGTAACCTCCTTCACGGAGGGTAATGTCTTGGGAGTGCTTTACAATGACAGCGTTAGACATCGAACAAGAGAGAGGGGGAAGGAGGACAACAACAACAAAATTATATTTGTATAGCGCCTTTTATGTTGGGAGGATGTTCCAAGGCGCTGGACAATCAGTGTTTTGGACTCGAGCTGCGGGCTGGGGAGGTTGGAGGGCAGGGGGAGAAGGTTCATGACCGACAACATGGTCTAGGAGGAGGGTCTTGAAGGAGGCAAGTGAGGAGGCAGGGCAGAGGGACTGCGGGATGGAGTTCCAGAGGGTGGGGGCAGAGTGGCTGAAGGCACTCCCGCCAATGGTGGTGCGGGTAAGGGATGTGAAGCAGGCCCGCTGAATGGAGGGAGCTGGCAGGTTGGTAGAGGGTTAGAAGGTCGCAGAGGTAGCCATAGGTGCGTTCATGGAGGTAGAATTTGAGGAAGGCAAAAGACAGAAAGAGAGGGGCAAGACTGAATGGTAGAGGGAGGGAATTTCAAAGGTTAGAGGTGTAGGAATAATTATTATTATTATTATTAGGAACTGAAGGCTTGGCCACCAGTAGTGGCATGGAAATGGGGAAACTCGCAGCAAGACTGAGTTTGCTGAATGGAAAGGATGAGCGGAAGAGTGGGTTAGAAAATTAGAAACGAGGAGCTCCTTGTGAATGTGAAACAGTGAACGTATTTATAGGCGAGGGAGGATCTTGACATCGATCCACTGGGAGGCAGGGAACCAGTGGAGCTTGATGAGAACTGGGTGATGGGCTAGTGGAGTTTGGTGGGGGTGAGGGAGGTAAAGTTTTGGATAAGTTGTAGCTTATGGATTGTGGAGCTAGGGAACTAGTGAGAAGCGCATTAGAAAAGCAGAAGGTAACTGAGGTGAATAAGGGTTTGGGAGCAGTTGGTTTGAGACATTTGTGTACTTGTACGCCAACTGCGAGGAGATGCTGGATTTTCTCAAAACCGAAATCAAAGGTATCTGCCCAGTTGCCTCTGCCCTTCCAACCACTACCCCATCTCCCCCTCACACTCCGGCCACTACCCATCCCTCCCTCCACACCTTTGAACCTGTTTTCCCCTTCTCTCCCATCACAACCATAACTCACATGAAACAGATCACCTGGTTCCCCCGACCCTGTCCTTACCTCCCAGCTCCACCTCCTTGCTCCCTACTTACAGACACCATAAACCTCTCCCTGTCCACTGGCACCATTCCCAACCCTCTAAAAACTGCTGTCATCACTCCTATCCTTAAATAACCCTCCCGGGACCCATCCCTGCTCTCAAACTGATGCCCCATCTCCAACCTCCCTTTCCAAGGTCCGGGAACAAGTCGTTGCTTCCCAGCTTCACTCATTCCTCACCCACCACTGCCTTCATGAACCCCTCCAATTGGGTTTCCATGCCGCCCATAGGACAGAAACGGCCCTGGTCAAAGTGACAAATGCGATTTTGTTCCATCTCAACCAGGGCTCCTTTTGCCTCCTCATCCTCCTTGACCTCTCTATTGCCTTTGATACCGTTGACCACCCTGTCCTACTCCACCGCCTCTCCTCTTACCTTACCTCATGGTTCTGTCCTTGAATGGTTCAGATCCTACTTCTCACATTGCCTCCACTTCAGCTTCTCCACTAGCCCGCACGCCATCTCGTGCGGCGTTCCTCAGGGCTCTGTCCTTGGTCCCCTCCTTTTTAATATCTATATGCTCCCTCTTGGTGACATCATCCGCAGACATGGGGTGAATTTCCATATGTATGGGGATGTCACCCAACTGTATCTTTCTGCCTCCACCCTTGACTCTGACACCACTGCTGTCCTGACAGAACGTCAGTCAAACATCCTGGATGAGAGCTAACTTTCTACAGTTGTACGTCAACAAAACCGAAGCTCTCTTGATTGGCTCCCGTCAGCAACTCCACACTTCAGGCACTGACAGCATCATCATTCAAGGATGCACACTCCACCTTACTAAGCGAGTCGGGAACCTTGGCGTCCTGTTTGACCCTCAACTATCCTTTCTACCCCAAATCCGTGCTGTGTCCAACTCTGCCTTCCCCCACATCCGCAACATCTCCCGGCTCCGCCACTGTCTCACACCACAAGCCACTGAGACCCTCACACACAAGCATTCATAACATCCAGGCTCAACTACGCAAACTCCCTGCTTGTCTGCCTCCCCAACTCCTCCTTCCATAGGCTGCAGATCATCCAACATTAACAACAACTCTGCAGCTTGTGTCCTCTCCCGCACCATGCTCTGTGACCCCATCACCCCCATCCTCGCCCGACTCCACTGGCTTCCCATCATACAGAAGATACAGTTCAATATCCTGGTCCTCAACTTCAAAGCCCACCATGGCCTTTGTCCGCCCTATCTCAATGACCATCTAAGCCCCTAGCAATCTGCCGTCTCCCTCCGCTCAGTGGGCTTTGGCCTGCTTTACATTCCCCACCTCACCCGCCCAACCATTGGCGGGCAGGCCTTCTGCAACTCTGCCCCCACCCTCTGGAACTCCATCCCCCAGTCCCTCCGCCTCACTCCCTCGCCTCCTTAAAAGACCAGTCTCAAGACTCTCCTCTTCAACCGTGCGTTCGGTCACCCTTCTTCCTCCCCTGATCTCCACCCTACCCGCTCAAGTCTGAAACACTGATGGTCCAGCGCCCTGGGACGTCCTCCTGACATCAACAACAATCACAAGATTACATTTGTATAGGGCCTTTCACGTCAGGAGGACGTCCCAAGGCGATAGACTGTGTACAGCATTTCAGACCCGAGCTGGGGTGGGGGGGGGGGGGGGGAATGGAGAGGGTGAGGTGTAGTGATTGGGGGATGGAATTCCAGAGGTTGGGGGCAGAGTAGCTGAAGGCTCTCCCACTAATGGTGGGTCGAGGAACATGGAGCAGGCCAGAGCCGGCTGAGCAGAGGGAACGGGCGGGTTGGTAAGGGGTTAGGAGGTCGCAGAGGTAGGGTGGGGCGAGGCCATGGAGGGCTTTGTAGGTGAGGACCAGGATCTTAAACTGGATCCTCTGAAGGATAGGGAGCCAATGGAGTCGGGCGAGAATGGGGGAGATGGGGTCACTGAGTTTGATGTGGGAGAGGACACGGGATGTAGAGTTCTGGATTATCTGCAGCCTGTGGAGGGAGGAGTTGGGAAGGCCAACAAGCAGGGCGTTTGTATAATCGAACCTGGAGGTGATGAAGGCATGAAGAAGTTTCAGCGGCCTGAGGGATGAGGTCGTGGCGGAGTCGAGCGATGTGACGGAGGTGAGGGGAGACAGAGCAGGTCATGGCTTGAATGTGGGGAAGAAGACAGTTGAGGGTCGAACAAGACACCTAGATTCCTGACTGGTTTGGTGAGTTGTAGTGTGCAACCATGGAGGTTGATGCTGCCAGAGCCTGAGGTGCTGAGGCGCTGGCTTGAGCCAATCAGGAGGGCCTCAGTCTTATTCACATTCAACTGTAAGAAATTTGCCCTCATCCAGGATTTGATGTTCAACAGGCAGTCGGTCAGGACAGCAGTGGTCCTGGAGTTGAGGACGGAGACAGAAAGATAGAGTTGGGTGTCATCCACAAACATGTGGAAGTTGACTCCATGTCTGTGGATGATGTCACGAAGGGGGAGCATGTAGATATTAAAGAGGAGAGGGCCAAGGACAGAGCCAAGGCGCTATACAAATGTAATTGTTGTTTTTGTACTAAACCAGCACAATACATCGAACACAACTGTGTCTCATTTGCATAGTGGACACATTTTCTTGTACAGGATTCTGAACCATCATACTTGTATTACCAGAATATTAATCTTAACCAACAGAAGCTCCTAGGTAACACAAGAAACCAGTGCTACACAAGGGTTAGCTAGAAACCTGAATTTTCCTCCAATGGAGAGTTGCTGATCTTAACAAGGCCAAAAGAAGAGAAAAAAAGCTATTTGCCTATGGCGTAAGGGGAAGAGAATAACACAGAAAGAATCCTCTCTTGCCATTTTAAAATGGCTCAATTTGGTCTAATAATATTGACTGGGCACAAGTACATCTTCTTGGATGAGAGCATTGCATCCCAGATATACATGGAAACAAAACAAACGGACAGATTGAATGGGATAAAAGTACAATTTCTCCAATACACTCCATAGTAGCAGGGAGAAGTTGCAACCAGAATAATTTAACAAACTGAAGTGAGGCTAAATATTGCAGGGAGGCTTAAGGTTTTACACTAATTGTTCAATCCAACTGTCAAGAATACCAGGAAGCCTGTTGATGCCTTTCACTGTACCACTCAGGCAAGCAGAGATGGACTTGCAAGTGTTGGTCAGAAAGATTGTGATTGAAACCTTTTCTCATTTTAATTGGCAACAAGGCAATGAAACAAGATCCTTCTTTGGGAGCATAAATTATGAAACAGGAAAAAGAAATGGCATATAAAGTGCGTATTTGCAGACATGTTGGCCAATGACTGAAGAGAGATTAAAAATGGCCCATATTGGAATATTTAATTGAAAACAAAAACGTATGGTTTTCTTTTGTGCAAAAACAAAACCACCAGACCAAATAATTACCTTCATCCTTTCAAGAGAGTCTAGCATTACCATTTGGGCCACAGCAAACAAAAACAACTGCCGGAGATCAAGACTACAAATAATTCATAATTCTTACATGATATAGTGCCTTTCACATCAGGGGAATGTCTCAAAACACTTCACAGGATATAATGGAAAGTGTGTTGACTGTATTTTGTGCCTCTCTGCACACCAGACAATTCTTTCTAACAGTTGTCATGCCATACTTTAATATCCTCATTAGCTGCGGTGAAAGGGCAAGTGATACTCACAGGTATTTGGATGCACCGGGCATATTTGAGCCTCGTTTTGCAGCACAGTGGAAGGATCCACAATGGGATAACTTGCGACATACAAACCACCTTGATTTTCTAGAGGTCCAAGTTCAATGCCTCACACCAAATTTACTTGTCTTAACCTTCTCAATCCAGGTTGTCATGCAACAGGTCTTGGCAAAGAGATCCACCCATTACACAATCAGCTCTGCTGCTGAACGACAGATCGCTTTAGACCAGTGGTGGCCAACCCATGGCTATGAAGAAGTGGCCCCCAAACATTCCCACTAGTTAGTGTTCAATTGATCAATGCATCTCCATATTTATCTTAATTTAATTTTCTTGAAGAAATAATCAATCAAGAAAATATATTTTGTAAGCCAACCATAAAGGTTGACCACCACTGCTTTATATCAAAGCCCAGTGCAAAGCAATACTTAACTTACTTAACCACTACATCCCACTGAATACCACCCCTCCACCACTTTTCCCATTGAATGGTTTTCAGGATTTTGAGTCTCATGCCCGAAGTGCTTAAATAAATCTACTACACCACCATATTGTCTGCAAATCTATTTCAAAATTCAGCATATTTCACATATATTCACTTTTTAAATCTGAAAAATTTGTGTTTTTTTTACATTGTAAAAATACAAACTTTGTTTCAATTCTTGATAAAGCACACTGGGAAAAAAAACATAAGAACAAATATCTTTAATTCATTTACAGTCAACTTGATACTTGAACTAAGAAAAATAGCTGAATTATATGAATACTGTAATCACATGGCACTGTTACAAGAATCACACTGTACACAGTCCATCACTTTGGTTGAATCTGTTTAATTTAAAAGGCAAATCTGATCAGTGGGTACAGCAGTGAGGCATCTCACTACTGGAAATAAATCAATCGTTCGTTCTGAGGATGTCCCTTTAATATTTGAAGTTAAAGTAATATTTTGTTCTGAATGCCTTCATTGTTGAAAATTGCCATGTTTAAAGTGAATGCAGAACATTAAATATTTTTGAACTTTAACTCAATTCTGAAGCGAAGGATTAGATAAATCTTTTGAATAAAGCAATAAAACATTGGCATGACCAAGTTGTAAATAGTTGATCAATGCACCATTGTAATAGTTCAAAAGGATTCCATCATTCAAGTCAACGTAATACCCTTGTGACCAATCAGTTTGGGATCAAATTGAACAAAGTTTTTAAAAACACACAATTTCAGGTATCCATATTTCCAAGAAGTGGGTGGATTATTCCCACAATCTGAAGACTTTACCCATGAACGTCGTGCACAGTGTTTCTTTAGTCTTCCCAGGCATCACCATACTGATTGGTTTTTACTGGAAAAAGAAACAGGAGCACAATAGGATTATCATTACAAGAATACAAGAACCTAACGGTTATATTTATGGCACAATGAGTTTACATTTTAATACATTTTCTACACATACTGTAGCCTTTACATGAAACCAACAGGTGGATTCTCAAATGGAGGAAAAGGTTTTGAATCAAAATCAGGCAAATCTGTCGTTTGAGATCCTGGTTCTGCGTAATCACTGACCCAGCCAGTAATATCTGACTCAATTTGTTGAGTATGTATCACACATTAGAATTGCTGGATACAAGAATGACACACATTTAAAAATTACAAGGTTGCCCACAAATTTCACTATTTCCATGGGTGAGAAAGCTAATTTAGTGAAGTAGGCAGTTGCGAAGTTTAACATGGAGAGAATGTTATGGAAAGAAAATAAGTGGACATGATCCCTTCTGTAAGAAACACTTATTAATTACTTGCTTTCTCATCCCTAAAAAGAGGATAAAGAATCTTCAGAAGATCTACAGGGTCCACTATATCTAAAGGTATACCACCAATTTAGTTTATTATATCACCTAAGAATTGTTTGAACAATACATTTTAGATTAAACTCTGAACTTCGACAAAGTGTACTTTTTAGAGACCGACACTGAAGATGCAACTTTTCAGGGGGCTTAAAGAATGGGCCTACAAGGTTTTCTCCCACAAGTGCAGATTTATTTTAGCCAGTAATTTAGAACATATTTCACAATACTGTATTTTCATATTTTACCTTCCGTTTTGGGAGCTCTGGCTGAAGGTTTGTTGAAAGACTCTGCTTTCTGTGTCAGTGTAACCTCGTACATCTCTCTATTTTTGTTCCTTAATTCTTCGTATGTCATGTGTTTCTTTTCAGGCTGGAATTCTTCTGACACTTCATTAGGTTCTGCCATCAGAGAAAAATACATTTATGTTTGGAGCTATAGGAACAGTTTGTGGCTTTAAGAAAGGAAAATCATGCTTAACCAACCTTATTTAACTTTTTGTAAAAGATAAAATAGATAAGGGAAATGCAATGGATGTGAGGGATATGGACTCCCAGAAGTCTCTGATAAGATGCGACAAAAGGCAAAAATTCTAAGCATTTGGAGTCGTAGGAGAATAGATTAAGAGATAACTAGAAAATAGAAAAAGAGTGGGAGTAAAGAGCAGTTTCTCAGACTGTCAAGAAGTGGAAGTTTTGTTCAGCTAAGCATACAGTGGATAGAGATATACAATATGGTGTCAAAATGTATAATGCCCCTCCCATGCTAGCACAAAACATTATTGTTTTTGGTTAGTTTTGTGTATGATATGCAGAAACTGGCCGTAGTCCTTAAGAGTGTCCAAACTAAACAGCTGACTTCCACCCCTTTTTGTGGAGTCCTGTAGCTCAGTGGTTAGAGCACTCGCTTTGCAAGCGAGAGACCTGAGTTCAATTCCAGGCAGGTCAGGGCAAAACCTTGGGCAAGTTTCCTTACTCCACACAGAGCCTAATAATAATCCCTCCAAAACCAAAAACAATAATAAATTGGTCATTTTCAATCTACGACTGTTTGTGGGACATTGCTGTGCGCAATTGGCTGCCGCGTTCACCCACAAATATACAGTCAATTTACTTTACAGTGTGTTCTGTGAAGCGCTTTGGGACGTCCTCCCGACGTGAAAAGCGCTATATCAAATGCAAGATTATTATTATTATTACCTATACATGGAAATTTCCATTTGTCTGGAATGGAGTGTACTCTCTTTCCTCAGAGGGAATCACCCAGTTCACATAATCCCTAAACATGAAGTGCTAGTCTTTGCACATTTGAGCCAAGATTTGGAGATTCCAGAGTGTACATGGGGTGCTCCGCTAGAGTTTAATCAGTTACAATTAATAACAATAATCCTTGCATTTGATAGAGCACCTTATGTGGTTAAGACGTCTCAAAGCACTTCATATAATTCGACAAAAAAGCCTGGGAATGTGATAAGGGTGAAGTACTGAGGTTGGTATTGACAGTCCTTAAATCGCTCAGCTATCCAAACAAATGAATTTAGGAAATTAATTTCAGAATAAAAACAACTGAATTTCATGAACAGCAAAATACAACCAATATATTCCAATACAACAATGGCTTTTTCTATGTGAGGTTTATAAAATGGAGTTATGAAAAAGTCATTGAAACAGCTGCTACAAAATTCCAAAAGTTAATTGTTGTTCAAGAACGTGGTCAATGTTATTTTCATGACAAACAAAAGCATTAGCTTCTGTAAAGCAACTGTGCAAAATATTGGACTGCATTAAAGCAACCTGAATATTTCTGTGGATTCCATTCAGTAGATTCATGTAGATTCTCCCCCTTCAATTAAATACATTTTGCGATTTTGTCCTCCACTGAGTAGAATTACCCAATTGTTTCTAAAACACAACACATACCTTCTAAAGTGCTGTCAGCCCCCGTTGGAGCTGACTCACTGAGTGAAGAACTGAATGGTACTTCATTATAGTTAGACAGAGAGCGATCAGCATAACTGTAATCATCGGAGTAGGAGGATGGCCTGTCAAACTGTGAAGAGGAGATTGCTGGTTGTTTTACAGGGCTGTCAGTAAATCCGGATTTCACATTTGAAAAACTGCAAGTGAAATAAACATTTATTACCTGCAGGTAAAAGCTGAAAACAATGAGGGAATGTTTTAAGGCTCTGGGACACTATCCCGAATAAAGGCGCTATATAAATGTGAATTATTGTTGTTGGCAGAATATTAGGGCATGAGGAAGAAGAGCCAATGATGACCTGCAAGTGTTTACAGCAGGAAAGTACCATCTTATTTGATGTTAATATTCTAACAATTTTAGAAGGCTAATATTTACCCTTTAAAAACACATTTTAAACACTTCTAGTTTATACTTGGGAGCAATTATAATAATAATCCTTGCATTTGATATAACACCTTATCACATCTGCGAGACATCCCAAAGTGCTTTGACAGAATATACTGTAAAGTGAATTGACTGTATATTTTGTGGGCGAAACACGACAACCGATTTGCACCAGCAGTGTCCCACAAACAGTTGTGGTTTGAAGTGACCAATATTTTTTTGATGCAATTATTACCCACGGAAAAGCGATCTGCCAATTGCCTAACAATGGGGTTCCTAATTACAGCTCGATAAACAGGGGCATGTGGAGTAAGGAAACTTGCCCAACATTTCTGCCAGGAATTGAACCTATGTCTCTCGCTTGCGAGTGCTATAACCACTGAGATACAGGACTCCGAATAAGCGTTTTTAAACTTTCCGTGAACTGTAAAAACAGAATTTGTTTTGCTACAACTGCAATATTCAAAGACACAAAAACACATTACAAAGGGAACATGAAACAGTGGCTACTGACTGTGATGGGTGGATTCTTCTTCCTGTCCGTATAGCTTCTGCTAATGGTGAATTTTCCAGTTTCATGAACTTTGCCTGACATATCTTCATGTAGGAAATCTTTCCTGCCAGATAACCACAAGCACCAGCAACTGAGAAAGAAATCCATCCAACAGTAATAAGTAACCATCCTTTCAAATATTCTCTATTCCATTTATTATGCACAGCAGATGTAGTTCGCTACTCTCATTTTCTCTCCAGCTATGAAAGATAATTCGTCTGCAAACCACTTTTGTATTGTGGCTGTTACTTTTTCCCCTTCCCTCATTCCAATTCAATAATCCAGTAGAAAATAAAATATTTGGAAAGGGTGGCAGGAACGTTTCTACACCAACCTCATTTAATTTATTTCTTAATCCACAATTTCCTATTATCCACAATCTCCTGTTTTCTGGAGAGAAGCTCAAATTCCTTAATTTTTCCTCATTACAGATTCCCAAGTTATCATCCTGGTTGCTCACCTATCAAGGACAATAATATCTTTCATAATATTAGGTGATCCAAGCTGCACACATTATTCCACATTCTTAGCAATTCCTGCATTCAGCAATAACATAACATATTCTCTTTCCATAAATGCAATTGAGTAGTTTATTTACATTTGGGAACATAGAGTGAATTAAAACCGCACCAATTTCACCCCCCACCTCCTTTGGGATGTTTGGGTGAAATACTTTTAATTGGTAATATTTATTTTACTACCTTCTGGTATTTGCTTGTATCTGGCTCTAACGCCACCTGGCTACATGCACACTGTCGATGTACTCTTCCATCTTTGGCAGACCTCCTGCTATTGCTTATTGGAGATATAAAGTAACTTTTAGATCACCAAATACTACACAATAAACTTTGAAGCAGACGTACAAATACACTTTCCTCAAAGAAAATATACTATTTTAGCATATTCAACCATTTCCAAATCTCTACTGTTCAAACTGACATGTCATATCTTGAAGCATCTTAATCCTGCAAAATCCATTTATTTGTTTAGCTCAGTTTTGTAGCAGACATTGACTCAGTTTAGTTTACATTTGTGCAGACTTTTTCCACTGATTCACTACCATGCAGGAGGGGAAAATAAAACCTAATTTCTAGCCTCACCTGAGACAATCAAACGCAACTATTATCATAGTGCTTTTTATGCCAGGAAGATGTCTCAAACCGCTTCACAGTATTTTCTGTAAAGTGATGATTTTGTAGGTAAACTAGTTCAATTTAAATGTGTATTCTTCAATTTTGTCTTCACTGTCCAAAATTACCTACATCATCTCAGGCTCTCACTATTTTGAACTGGAATCATATCCCCCTCAATTGTTGTATGCTGGAAACAAATTATATTTTATGAATTTTATACCCTCCTCAGTCAAATAATACATTTTCGTTTTAAAACCCTGTCAAACAAATCAGAGATTTACCAAAACAATACCATTGTGCTTTCATCTGTCAGTAGAAACTAGAGAAATTGTGCCTATTTTCATTGGAACAGAGAAAATATGATAGATGTCAGTAACTAGATAGTATCAATTTACGCTAGTTAGCAAGAGAGCAATAAGGAGTATTTTTGGTATAATGATCCTTGCATTTGATATAGCGCTTTTCATGTCTATAGAGTGGAACGTCCTTCCAGACGTGATGGTCAAAGTAGGATCCAATTAGCTTTCAAGAAGGAACTAGATATATCTATAGAGGAATAATCTGCAGGGTATGAGAAAAAGGAAGGTAAATGGGACTGAATAGTCTTTCAAAGAGCCACCAAATACATAGTAGCCCAAATTGCCTTCTTCGGTGCCGTAATTTTTTATGGTTCTAAATCTATTTTTTTTTAAGGTTACATAGCTCACCAGCCATATATACACACGGTTAAATTGTAATCTGGTAGTTTTGCTCTAGAAGTTACAGATGATGCACAACTTTTAATGTTTTTTGGATACAAAATAAATTATGGAAGATTCTTGTACTCAACTGTTGAATTAACAACCCTGAATAGCAGTACAGATGCATGCTGTTCAAATCACAGTTTCTGTGTTGCTTAAGTAAATAAATATTAATCTCACTTACACACAACTTTAGGTAAAGACCCAAATCTAGGTGAAGAAGAAAGTATTCCTAAAAGGGAAGGATAAAGAACATATTATGTAAAATAATCCTTGCATTTGATCTTATCACATCATCGAGATGCCTCAAATCACTTTACAGGAATTTCCTGTCAAGTATAATGACTATAGCTAATATTGATTCATTTGTCATGCGATAAATTTCAAATAAGTGTTTTTTGTTTTACATTACCTCTAGAGATCAACACTTGAGCTAGAAGCATGCTCATCCCAGAAAATGGCAGTGCTGTAAGGAACAACATGTGCTACAATTAAGAGGTAATTTGGTAAAATACAATTAAGAGGTAAATTTGGACTACCAAATAACAATTTCACTTTCCAAAATATTCAAGCATGCAGTATCTACATCTATATTATCTCAATATTAATAAAAAGACTAAGGGAACAATTTGTTAAAATATTCTGGATTTGGATTTGAGTCCTGATCAGACTGTTGAGTCTCAGAGTGAACACTTGCAATCATGTTAATAGACCCCAATACTAGTGATGCTAATGAACAGTAAAGGAAAACGTATCTGGATTAGTGTAGTGGACAGCCAGTAGTATGTTTTATAAGATGACAATCTGATCTTTTCATTTGCAAATGCATCACTGACCAGTACAAAATTGCATAACATTTTATTTATTGTCTAAGCGTGCAACAGTCAAAAAAGCGTCAGCCAAGATGGCCTCAGCCAGAGAAAGGTTTTGCAGAGATTCTACAAGCAGAGTGAGATGAGACACATAGGCACTGAGGGAAGAGAGTTCCAGAGGGGTGGCAGAAATGTAGCTCAGAGCAGGCCTGAGTTAGTTGATCGGATGGAGGGAGCAGGTGGGGAAGAGATCATGTACATCGGGTGGGACAAGGGCATCGAGGTACAGCATTTGGTCTCCCTCCCACCTCTCTGCCTTCCCTCACCCCTACACCACCCCTCCCCCATGATGGGGCCCCAACACCTGACTGTTCAGTCCTTTGGGACATCCTTTCGATGTGAAAGGTGCTCTATAAATGTAATTTTGTTGTTGTTGTAATATTGCATTGCTCTTAATGTATACATTAATTTCATTCATTACAACTAAAACAGCTATTAAATAACTTTCCGAAACAAATTTAACCATTACACCTAAATTTGTTGGCAGGAAATAAGAACATAAGAAATGCTAGACAAAAAAAGACCAAGGTCCATCTAGTTCACCTTCCACCTTCCTGGCGGTCGGTGCACATATGTCCCAAACTACCCATGTACTGAATCCCATAATGTTATTTCCTAAAAGAAAACTATCTAATCCATGTCTGAAAGAATCAACACATCCTGCTTAAACTGTCTCCCTAGTGAGCCTGTTCCACAGGTTCACTATTTGCTCACTGAAATAGTGTTTGCATAGATTTGTTCTGAATTTCAATCGCAGGCCGTGCCCTCTGATTTTACTATTCTGGACAAATTGAAGCAGCCTGTCATGATCTATATTGCCTAGCCGTTAGAGTCGTAAAGATAGCAATCATGTCACCTCTCAATCTTCTCTTTTCCAGGATGAACATGCCCAATTTATTCCTGAAAGTCCAGTCCCTCCATTCCCTCAATCATTTTGGTTGCCCTCCTCTGTATCTTCTCCATTTCTCCAATATCTTTTTTGTACTGCGACGACCAGAACTGTACAGAGTACTCTAAATATAGTCTCACCAATGATTTATACAGTAGCAGGATTAAGGATAGTAAATTTTTAGTAAATTAGTAATAAATTCTTACATCTATAATAGAAACTCTCTTCATTGCATTCTCTGAAGACCCTCTTTTCATCTTCCGTAGGAATGTACGAACCACTCATTGGATCCTGCAGCACAATAAAAAAAATCCTTCATTCATTCACTCAGGAGGAAAGAGAATACAATAACATTTAGTATATTACACAAGTGAGCAGTTATGATAATAAAAGAACTAAGATGAATGTGAGGCTCATAACACTTCTATATGTTATTTTCTAAAAGATTTCTTTAATTCACCTGCTTAGTTTACAAAATACAAATTGAACAAGTTACCCCCAGCTTTGCGCTTTCTCTCTTTCGCCAGCCACTCCAGCTTCACTCTCTCTTTGCTACTCTCTTCGCTTTGCTCTGTCTCTCTGCTGGAAGGTGTTACCTGGAGTCTGGGTTCGTGAACACACTTCGCCTGGAACCCACCTTGATTGGCCTGCAGAGAGGCAAACAGCTGCTGCTTAAACACCACGTCGCCAATTGGTGGAACCATTACTTAATAGGAAACAACATGTGCCTGAGCTGTGTACAGGAAGATGGTGGCAATGCTCTCATGATTTTCATGCTGAGATGTGTTGCCCACTGGCAAGCTTGCAGGAAGTTCCTGTTACCTACTGTAGACCTAGTGAGGGCTCAAACACCTGCTTGTTGAATGTCAAACGACCAACTAATGACTATCCTTCGGGGTGGGGGTAAGTGGGGTCTCCTTGGGGTTAAACTGGCTCCAAGGTGACATGTTTGGCAATGGAATACTGGAATCGAGCCCACCCTCTGTGGCAGTCTCAGTAATCAGGCCCCTGAGCCAGAGAGGGCAGCAGTATCCCAGGGCACTGCTGACAGCGCAGAGCACAGCTCATCAGCATGGAGGTACGGCATTTGAAGGTCAGACCAGCTCACCAGGGGCAGGGAGCCATCCGACTAAGCTCCTGTTAACCCTGCAAGCCCAAACCCTAACAGGTAGGGTAGTCCTAGCTGGGCAAGCAGTGGGAAAGCTTGTAAGACAGCAATGTCATCACCAAGCTTTGCGGTTTTAGCTGGATAGACTCTTATCGATACCACAACATACTCTGGGGCGCTCCTGCCAACCTGCATCCAATACTTTACGGAATAAGGTGGGCAGGATGTGTCCCTCCAGGGAGCGAGCGCGCATTCCATTCCCACAATCTATCTCTGGGATTTCCACGTGTAGGTGGACGGCATGGAAATCTCAGCTTGGTTTGGATACTCCTGAGCTTGGTGATGGGTTTCCGCATGTGGCAGACACCATAAAAAAAATTCTCTATGCTTCCCCTATCTCTGCTCTTTTTTCCCACTATTATAACAATAATAATCCTTGCATTTGATATAGTGCCTGATCGCGTGGTTGAGAGTCCCGAAGCGCTTCATAACTCACAATGTCCCACTGTGAGCGGAGTGAGTGTGATTTTATCGGGGGGCTTGTCGGCGACACGGGGAGAGAGAGAGAGAGAGAGAGAGGAAAAACTCTCTTTTCCAACAGTGCCATAGGATCTCGAATGTCCGTCTGAACAGACAGACAGGACCTTAACTTGACTTAGTGGAGTCCTGTAGCTCAGTGGTTAGAGCACTCGCCTCGCAAGCGAGAGACCCGGGTTCTGTTCCCGGCCGGGCGATACGTCGGGTGAGTTTCCTTGCTCCGCGCGCCTCTGCTTACACAGCAGGAAGTAGGAACCTGGGTGTTAGTCGATCGGCGGGTCACTTTTCTGGGGGGGGGGTGACAATTCCTTCCAAAAAACCAAATAATAATTTGGTCACTCGATCCGCGACTGTTTGTGGGACACCGCGGTGCGCAACTGGCTGCTGCGTTTCACCCGCAACATGTGCAGTCAATTCACGTTACGCCACGAGCACAGTCAGAAATCAACAGTATAACTTGACAGCGTATTCCGTGAGGGCGTCTCGGAGACGCGATGAGAGGCGCCATATCAAATGCAAAGGATTATTGTTGTTGTTGTTGTTGCGGTGGTTGTTGTGCTCCTCACAGCTCTGTCGCGGTCTCTCCCGCCTGCTCGGCTCTGCCTGCCTGGCTCGCCTCGCCCGCCTGGGCAGTGCCCCCTCCCCGGGCCTGGCAGTGCCCCCTCCCCGGGCCTGGCAGTGCCCCCTCCCCGGGCCTGGCAGTGCCCCCTCCCCGGGCCTGGCAGTGCCCCTCCCCGGGCCTGGCGGTGCCCCCTCCCCGGGCCTGGCGGTGCCCCCTCCCCGGCCTGGCAGTGCCCCCTCCCCGGGCCTGGCAGTGCCCCTCCCCGGGCCTGGCGGTGCCCCCTCCCCGGGCCTGGCAGTGCCCCCTCCCCGGGCCTGGCGGTGCCCCCTCCCCGGGCCTGGCGGTGCCCCCTCCCCGGGCCTGGCGGTGCCCCCTCCCCGGGCCTGGCGGTGCCCCCTCCCCGGGCCTGGCAGTACCTGTGGTGAGGGTGAGCCGCGCTCCGCGCCGCTCAAACCGTCGGACTCTGACTGCATCTCCGACCGTTACAGCGTAAAGCACGAGCCGCGACCTCGAGCTTCTCCTCCAACAGACTCCAGCTCGCGCCCCTCCCCGGAAGCAGTGGCTGCTGCGCCAGGCGCCTGACCTCGGAAGTGAAACCACCGCCGCCGCCCATGATCCTCACACCTCCCCCGTGTACCGGAAGACAGTCACGTGACAAGCACAGGAAGCGATGGCCATTCCAGCCTCCATGTACCGCGACAGGGTTCCCGCCTTCTCACCGCCAGGAAGCGCTCCTCACCCTTCCGGAAGTAGCTGCCGCGAGGCTATGACGTACATGATCGATGCCGCCGTTGGCCAATCGCCGGCCAGGGCTGCGAGCGGCGTGCCCTGGCGCGGTGACGTCAGCGGACCAATCAGGCGAGGCCGAGGGCGGGACTGGGAGCCACAGCGGTGAGCGATCCTGGAGAAAGCGAAACCCAAGAGAGAGACGGTGGTGAGGACCGCGATACAGAGGAGCGGAGCGAGGAGCCGAGCACCAGGGCCCAGACAGACCGGCACAGCGCGGCGGGAGGGAGGCCGGGGTCAGCACCGGGGACTGAGAGCAGTGGGAGGCGGCACTGACCCAACACAAAGGCGGGGAGCGGAGCGGACCACAGCCCCGGGGCCGCAGGTACGAGCCGCTCTGCTCTGCTACACGCGGCGGTGGCGGCGGCGGTGGTGGTGGTGGGGGGACGGGAGGCGATGGACCGCGGTCCCGGACCTCGTTTCAGGCGCTCACTCGCCGGCGTGAAAAGCTGACGGCGGGAGGAGAGCGAACAAAGCTGCTGCTGCTGGTGGTGGTGGTGGTGGTGAGAGGGGCTCTGCGTGTGTGTGTGTGTGTGTGCGCGGCTCTCCGGCTGCCTCGGGCTCTGAGTGAGAGTGAACAAAGAGCCGGAGAGCGTGACAGCAGCTCCTTAACCTGAGGGGAGCTCCGTCCAGCGTCTGTGTGTGAGTGTCAAGTGGGGGGGTGTGTGTGTTGGGGGGTGTGTGTGTGTGGGGGGGTGTGTGTGTGTGTGTGTTGGGGGTGTGTGTGTATGTGGAGTGTGTGTGGGGGGTGTGTGTGTGTGTTGGGGTGTGTGTGTGTGTGTTGGGGTGTGTGTGTGTGTTGGGGGTGTGTGTGTGTGTTGGGATGTGTGTGTGTGTTGGGGTGTGTGTGTGTGTGTTGGGGTGTGTGTGTGTGTGTTGGGGTGTGTGTGTGTGTTGGGGTTGTGTGTGTGTTGGGGTGTGTGTGTGTGTTGGGGTTGTGTGTGTGTTGGGGGGTGTGTGTGTTGGGGGGTGTGTGTGTTGGGGGGTGTGTGTGTGTGTGGGGGTGTGTTGGGGGTGTGTGTGTTGGGGTGTGTGTGTGGGTTGGGGGGTGTGTGTGAATGTCAAGTGTGTGTGTGTGTGTTGGGGTGTGTGTGTGTGTGTTGGGGGGTGTGTGTGTGTTGGGGGGTGTGTGTGTGTTGGGGGTGTGTGTGTGTGTTGGAATTGTGTGTGTGTTGGGGTGTGTGTGTGTGTTGGGGTGTGTGTGTGTGTTGGGGTGTGTGTGTGTTGGGGCTGTGTGTGTGTTGGGGCTGTGTGTGTGTGTTGGGGCTGTGTGTGTGTGTTGGGGTGTGTGTGTTGGGGCTGTGTGTGTGTTGGGGTGTGTGTGTGTTGGGGGGTGTGTGTGTGTGTTGGGGGGTGTGTGTGTGTGTGTTGGGGGTGTGTGTGTGTGTGTTGGGGTGTGTGTGCCTGTGTGTGTTGGGGTGTGTGTTGGGGGATGTGTGTTGGTGTGTGTTGGGGGTGTGTGTGTGTGTTGGGGGTGTGTGTGTGTTGGGGGTGTGTGTGTTGGGGGTGTGTGTGTGTGGGGGTGTGTGTGTGTGGGGGTGTGTGTGTGTGGGGGTGTGTGTGTGTGGGGGTGTGTGTGTGTGGGGGTGTGTGTGTGTTGGGGGTGTGTGTGTGTGTGTTGGGGGGTGTGTGTGTGTGTGTTGGGGGGAGGTGTGTGTGTGTGTTGGGGGGGAGTGTGTGTGTGTTGGGGGGGGGTGTGTGTGTGGGGGGGGTGTGTGTGGGGGGGGGTGTGTGGGGGGGGGTGTGTGTGGGGGGGGGGTGTGGGGGGGGGTGGGTGTGGGGGGGGGTGGGTGTGGGGGGGGGTGTGTGTGGGGGGGGTGGGTGTGTGGGGGGGTGGGTGTGTGGGGGGTGGGTGTGTGGGGGGGTGGGTGTGTGGGGGGGTGGGTGTGTGGGGGGGTGGGTGTGTGGGGGGGTGGGTGTGTGGGGGGGTGGGTGTGTGGGGGGTGGGTGTGTGGGGGGGTGGGTGTGAGTGTCAAGTGTGTGTGTGTGTGTTGGGGGGTGTGTGTGTGTTGGGGGGTGTGTGTGTGTTGGGGGGTGTGTGTGTGTTGGGGGGTGTGTGTGTGTTGGGGGGTGTGTGTGTGTGTTGGGGGGTGTGTGTGTGTGTTGGGGGGGTGTGTGTGTGTGTGTTGGGGGGTGTGTGTGTGTGTGTTGGGGGGTGTGTGTGTGTGTGTTGGGGAGTGTGTGTGTGTGTGTTGGGGGGTGTGTGTGTGTGTGTGTGTGTGTTGGGGGGAGGTGTGTGTGTGTTGGGGGTGTGTGTGTGTGTGTTGGGGGGTGTGTGTGTGTGTGTTGGGGGTGTGTGTGTGTGTGTGTTGGGGGTGTGTGTGTGTGTGTGTTGGGGGGTGTGTGTGTGTGTGTGTTGGGGGGTGTGTGTGTGTGTGTTGGGGGGTGTGTGTGTGTTGTGGGGGGTGTGTGTTGGGGGGGGGTGTGTGTGTTGGGGGTGTGTGTGTTGGGGGGTGTGTGTGTTGGGGTGTGTGTGTGGGGGGTGTGTGTGTTGGGGTGTGTGTGTTGGGGGGTGTGTGTGTTGGGGGGTGTGGTGTGTTGGGGGTGTGTGTGTGTTGGGGCTGTGTGTGTGTGTTGGGGGTGTGTGTGTGTTGGGGGGTGTGTGTGTGTGGGGGTGTGTGTGTGTGGGGGTGTGTGTGTGTGGGTGTGTGTGTGTGGGGGGTGTGTGTGTGTGTGGGGGGTGTGTGTGTGTGTGTGGGGGGTGTGTGTGTGTGGGGGGTGTGGGTGTGTGTGGGGGGGTGGGTGTGGGGGGTGGGTGTGTGTGGGGGGGTGGGTGTGTGGGGGGGTGGGTGTGTGGGGGGGTGGGTGTGGGGTGTGTGGGGGGTGGGTGTGTGGGGGGGTGGGGGGGGTGGGTGTGTGGGGGGGTGGGGGGGTGGGGTGTGTGTGTGTGTGTGTGTGGGGGTGTGTGGGTGTGTGTGTGGGTGTGTGTGTGGGGTGTGGTGGGGGTGTGGTGGGGGGGGAGGTGTGTGTGGGGGTGGGCGGTGTGTGTGGGGTGTGTGTGTGTGGGGCTGTGTGTGTGGGGGGGTGTGGGTGTGTGTGTATGTGGGGCTGTGTATGTGGGGCTGTGTGTGTGGGTGTGTGTGTGTGTGTGGGTGTGTGTGTGTGTGTGGGTGTGGGTGTGTGTGTGTGTGTGTGTGGGGGTGTGTGTGTGTGTGTGGGTGTGGGTGTGTGTGTGGGGTGTGTGTGTGTGTGGGTGTGTGTGTGTGTGTGTGTGGGGGTGTGTGTGGGGTGTGTGTGGGTGTGTGTGTGTGTGTGGGTGTGGGGGTGTGGTGTGGGGGTGTGGTGGGGGGGTGTGGTGGGGGGGGTGTGGTGGGGGGGTGTGGTGTGGGGGTGGGTGTGTGTGGGGGTGTGTGTGTGTGTGGGGTGTGTGTGTGGGGGGTGTGGTGGGGGGGGTGTGGTGGGGGGGGAGGTGTGTTTGGGGGTGGGGGGTGTGTGTGTGGGTGGGTGTGTGTGTGTGTGTGTGGGGCTGTGTGTGTGTGGGTGTGTGTGTGGGTGTGTGTGTGTGTGTGGGGCTGTGTGTGTTGCTCTGGTCGAGGCCCCATTGTGTATTTCTCTATAATTGCACTCAGTCGGGGCCTTCTTTGCTTTCTCTGCCTTTGTCACTGATTCCAGACCGTTACAAAACTCGAGTTATACTTTACATACCGGGTTGTCCCTGTCCTGGCTTCTGCGCGCTCACTGTCTCACTGTCTTGTGCCTGTGCTCTGGTGTGTGCGCCTGTCAGTGTTTAGACTGCCCTGGGTCTGGTTTTGAAATGCGTATGTCAATGTTTACACTGTCATGACTCGTGTGTATTCACTGTCCTGTATGTGATGTGTGCTTGAGAATGTTTACACTGTACTGGCTCTGATGTGACCCTCATGTGGTGTGTCTATGCATGTATGTGCACACTGCCGAGCCTTGATGTGTGTGTGTGTGTGTGTATGTGTCGGTGTGTAAGCTTCCATCAACTCACTGATCTGTGGTATGTAAGATGTTTATGGTTTCTCTGTATGACTCTTGTTTGTTTGGGTGAGATTTTAGGTCTCGTTCTGAAGTTTATGTATGTACATTCTTGTCTGGTTTGGGTATGATGTTTGCCCGTTCACATATGGTTGTCAGACCTTTGTGTGCTTGTTGAGGTTGTTCTGCTGTTCTGGGTATAGTCGTGTGCACATTTGCTGGTGAGTATGGTCCTGATGTGTGTTAGTGTTACACTCGACCGAGCCTCATTGTAATTACATTTCTCAATGTACTCAGTTAAGGCAGGGGCTAACTTTAACTTCTTTGTCACTAATTCCAACAACAACTTACATTTGTGTGGTGCTCTTTGCGTGGCTTGTATCTCGGAGCAATTAAGCTCTCTGCAAATTCAGATTCCATTCCAAACTGATGTTGAGCAGCATCTCAGTTTTTAGGTTGGATGAATTACGCACAATCTGACTGGTTCAGGTCCTACCTTTCACACCGCCTCCACTTCGTCTCTGCAAACGGCTTCTCCTTCAGACCCGTACTGTCTCGTGCGGCGTTCCTCAGGGCTCTGTCCTCGGTCCCCTTGTCTTCACCCTCTACATGTTCCCTCTTGGTGAAATCGTTCACGGACATGGGGTAAATTGCCACATGTATGCGGATGACACCCAAATCTATCTCTCTGCCTCTACCCTGAACTCCAGGGTCACTGACATCCTGACCAACTGCCTGTCCGACATCAAGTCCTGGACGAAGGACAACGTTTTCCAACTGAACGTCAGCAAGACCGAGGCCCTCCTGATTGGCTCACACCAGCGCCTCCGCACCTCAGGCGCTGGCGGCATCAGAATCCACAGCTGCACACTCAACCTCACTAAGCCAGTCAGGAACCTGGGTGTCGTATTTGACCCCAAACTGTCCTTTCCTATCTCATCCGCGCCATGACCGGCACTGCCTACCACCACCTCCGCAACACCGCCTCACTCCCACCCTCGCCTGACTCCACTGGCTCCATCCCCCCGAGGATCGAATTCAATATCCTTGTCCTCAGTTTCAAGGCCATCCATGGCCTTACCCCGTCCTACCTCCCTGTCCTGCTGACTCCCGACCAACCTGCCCACTCCCTCCATTCAGCGGGCTCTGGCTTGCTCCATGTATCCCGCCCGACCTGCAGCCGCGCACACACATCGGGGGCCAAGCTTTCAACCTCTCTGCCTCCATACTCTGGAGCTCCATCCCACTGTCCCTTTGCCTCGCTTCCTCCCTTCAAGGCCGGTCTCAAGACCCTCCTCCTTGATCGTGCCTTCAGTCGCCCTCCCACCCCTCTGCCTTCCCTCACCCCTACCCCACCCCTCCCCCGTGCTCGGATCCTGACCC